TTCTTTTTAATCCACTCTAAGTACCTTCAATTCTATTTATATGAACTTTGGTAATTGGATCTTTAAAATATTTTTTATAATTTACTGTTTATGTTTATACCCTATATTTTTTAAATTGTTATAACCTTTCCAACAGTCAGTGTATATTATTGTTCCTTTTTTAACATATTTCTTAATGATTTTATTTATACTTTCAGTATTTCTAATATTAATTGGTATGAAAAAAGATTTCTTATTTTCATTTTTAATTTTATTTTTTAATCTAGATCTTTCAATACCACCAATTACAGGATTTTTCACCTCCTAGCAGACATTTGAACTTTTATTTAGGCAGAAGGGATTTAATTTTAGGCAGAGTGGACATGAATGTTAATCTGAGTGGACATGAATAAAAGTTAATCTGGACATGAATAATAATTGATCTGGACATGAATGAAAATCAAGCTGGACATGAATGAAAATCAAGCTAGACATGAATGAAAATCGATCTGGACATGAATATAAAACGATCTGGACATGAATATTAATTGACCTGGACATGAATATAAATCGATCTGGACATGAGTAAAATCAATGTGGACAAAATAAAAATCAATCTGTACATGAATGAAAATCGTTCTAGACAAGAATAATAATCAATCTAAACATGAATAATAGACAACCTGAACATAATAACAGTCAACCTAGACATTGTTTTAGTCAACTAAGACATAATAAAAGTTGAAGTAGATAATATATTAAGTGTAGCAGAGCAGAATATTTGAGTACTTAAGATTTTCAATTCAAGTCAAGACATAATAGAAGTTAAGCAGTGCAAAGCCAATGTCACAATATAGTAGTATGGCTGTTTCACTTGTGACAAGAAGCTTGTAGGCTAATGTACAGGAAATGGCAAGGGTGCATCAGAGACTCACTACTGTACGCATAAGCCTATTTTGCTGCTATGGGAATTGGGCCTGAGCGTTTCCCCTCCATTCATTTTACCTGGGTTGAGTTTGAAACAAACTGGAGGCTGGTGGCTGAGGTAGGTGGAAAGTGTGGGGTTTGTTAGCAGCAGCATAGAGGAAAAAAACAATAACTAAAGATCCTTTTTTTTTCTCATTACCATTTGCCACGGCAAATCAACAGCTTCGACGCACACTTGTAAATGGCTCCTACTCTCTTCACGATGAATAAAAACAAAGAAAACAAAACGGCACAATCCACGGATTTATTGAAAAACGAAATGAAGGTAACTGTTTTCTTAAAAAAAGCATGTGCTCAAGATTGATAAGGAGTAGACCGCCGTTACTGCTTAAAAAAACGCTGGGTAAGTGAACGAGGGAAGGAAAAGGTTACTGGTTGTGCTTGAGGTATAGCTTTAGTGGAGATATTATCATCCAGAATTACTGCTTCTTTCTCATTTTCTCTGTATATACTTGATGCACCATCTTGCACCATTTTAACGTCAGACTTGCGTGTGTAATACAACATCGTCCTTTACCTGCACAAACGATTCGTACTCACAACAAGAACGACGCAACAATCTTCTTCTCCATTACTCATACACAATCATATACAACATGGCGCTGATCCGCTATTGACTTGCAAAATATACAGCCTGGCGCATTTACCTCTCACTACCATATACGCCCATATTACATGATGACGACTATGACGCCGTTCTTTTGTTTTAATACTTGTACGCTCAAGCACATCATCATCGTAATGACGGTCATCTCTTTCTTTGCTGTTTGTATACACATCAACGCGATGATAATTATATTCCTATGATGCATACACACCACCACAACTATAACCCTCCTCTGCAATTCGCTGTACTCGCACACATACGATGGCAACGACGATTACCTTTTTCTTTTTGCATATGCCAACACGAACATTACCGGTCTTGATGGATAAGGTAGTTAGATATGCTGACGGGTGGAATGTAGGGTTTTATTATTGTTACTGTAGATGTTACAGCTGGGATAAAAAAATAAAAGCAAAAGATCATACATTATGTAGTCATTATGTTTCAGTTGTCTGCATAAACGGGTGTGAGATGGTATTGCATGTTATTACAAGTGCTTCTGTAAAAACTATAAATATAGCTCTGAGCGGTGATGATAATATGGCAGGGACAAAGAAGAAAACGCGTTTGTTGTTATGAAGGAGGAAGTTTTTTGCTATTACAACAGCAACTTTATTTATTGTTAATAATGTTAATAACAACAACTATGAACAACCGACAAGTTAGTACCCTTGACGTCATTCGCTACGCTCTCTCTCACTCGACTGTACGTGGAGTTCTTGCACTCATTCTGAATGAAATCGTGTGCGTTCCTGCTGCTCGATGGCAGTTCTTCAAGGATCGCATCTCGGAATTGTGTGGCTACAAATAGGTTCACAAACGCGAGACTGTGCATGGCACCAGACGCTCTGCCACGCAATATCAATAATTACAATAACCATCCTTCACCACGAAACAACATCCTTCGCACTTGTATAACTCTTATAGAACCTTCTTTTTTGTCTTTCTTATATATCGGCCATCATACTTTATTTTCATCCAATCCACATCAACACAAACGGAAAGAAACCCGTCAGTTATCCTTCTTGCTATCTACAGCTCATTCATCCATAAAGACCGGCGATGTTAACATTGTTATATGCAAAGTAATCGCGTCAGGCTGTATGTTTTGCAAGTCAATGGCGGATCAGCGCCATGTTGTATATGATTGTGTATGAGTAATGGAGAAGAAGATTGTTGCGTCGTTCTTGTTGTGAGTACGAATCGTTTGTGCAGGTAGAGGACGATGTTGTATTACGCACGCAAGTCTGACGTTAAAATGGTGCAAGATGGTGCATCAAGTATATACAGAGAAAATGAGAAAGAAGCAGTAATTCTGGATGATAATATCTCCACTAAAGCTATACCTCAAGCACAACCAGTAACCTTTTCCTTCCCTCGTTCACTTACCCAGCGTTTTTTTAAGCAGTAACGGCGGTCTACTCCTTATCAATCTTGAGCACATGCTTTTTTTAAGAAAACAGTTACCTTCATTTCGTTTTTCAATAAATCCGTGGATTGTGCCGTTTTGTTTTCTTTGTTTTTATTCATCGTGAAGAGAGTAGGAGCCATTTACAAGTGTGCGTCGAAGCTGTTGATTTGCCGTGGCAAATGGTAATGAGAAAAAAAAAGGATCTTTAGTTATTGTTTTTTTCCTCTATGCTGCTGCTAACAAACCCCACACTTTCCACCTACCTCAGCCACCAGCCTCCAGTTTGTTTCAAACTCAACCCAGGTAAAATGAATGGAGGGGAAACGCTCAGGCCCTGTTCCCATAGCAGCAAAATAGGCTTATGCGTACAGTAGTGAGTCTCTGATGCACCCTTGCCATTTCCTGTACATTAGCCTACAAGCTTCTTGTCACAAGTGAAACAGCCATACTACTATATTGTGACATTGGCTTTGCACTGCTTAACTTCTATTATGTCTTGACTTGAATTGAAAATCTTAAGTACTCAAATATTCTGCTCTGCTACACTTAATATATTATCTACTTCAACTTTTATTATGTCTTAGTTGACTAAAACAATGTCTAGGTTGACTGTTATTATGTTCAGGTTGTCTATTATTCATGTTTAGATTGATTATTATTCTTGTCTAGAACGATTTTCATTCATGTACAGATTGATTTTTATTTTGTCCACATTGATTTTACTCATGTCCAGATCGATTTATATTCATGTCCAGGTCAATTAATATTCATGTCCAGATCGTTTTATATTCATGTCCAGATCGATTTTCATTCATGTCTAGCTTGATTTTCATTCATGTCCAGCTTGATTTTCATTCATGTCCAGATCGATTTTCATTCATGTCTAGCTTGATTTTCATTCATGTCCAGCTTGATTTTCATTCATGTCCAGATCAATTATTATTCATGTCCAGATTAACTTTTATTCATGTCCACTCAGATTAACATTCATGTCCACTCTGCCTAAAATTAAATCCCTTCTGCCTAAATAAAAGTTCAAATGTCTGCTAGGAGGTGAAAAATCCTGTACCTATGCTCCTTCAACTTTATGGCCTTTATGATATTTTCTTTTGGCAATCTTCGTTTCATCTATTTCTACTATTGAATTTCTACCTCCAATTTTATCAATCTTTATATTATTATCAATATTTTTTCTTAAAATTTTATGATATTTTATAGCTGTTTTATGATCAATACTTAAACTTTTAGAAATATTAGTTATTGGTGTTTTTTTTTAAAAAATTCATATAAAATATGTAATTAGTAATGAATTGGTAGTTTCATTTTTGAAAATATTGTATCTTTAAATAATGAATATGTTTTTCTACATTTATAATAATTACAAATATATAATTTTCGTTTATAATTAAATTTAATATTATTATTTTTACATTTGTCACAAATATCTCTTTTTTAATATATTTATTATCTAGTAAATAATTTATTCCATCAACTTCATTATCAAAAGCTTTCTTTAATATTGGTAACTTTCTATAAACATTTCGTATTTTAAAAATATTTTCTATAAAGTTTTCAATCATCTGTTTTCAACTATTTTTATTTTTAGATAGAAAATTCAATTTTTTCTTAAAAAGTTTTAATAAGTAATTGAGTTTGAAATTTATATGAGACCTATAATGGATGTACTCCCCTGTAGACATCTTTCCACCCGACCTTCTGCGTTCCATACATACTTGTATCGTCAGTTCCTACAGTCGTCGCACTTTCAACCCAGAAATTCTTTGCCAGGTCGCGGCCATCATTCAAGGATATACGGATGACCAAATTGACGAAGAAAAAGCAAAAATTGACCTACTTAACTGCGCTCATAACGCCGAAACAAACGAAAGGGCCGCGATTAATGCTGTTGTTGCATTGATATCCAATTTGTACGATTGTGAGGTGAAAACACTCTCGGAAGCGCATCTGATAGCCAGTTATATTCATCCATTTGTGCATGGTCTCTTGTTATGTAAAATGCCAACGGCAATCGCTCATTGCTCAAATATTGTGCCTAATGAAAGACCTGGCAGCAACAACCGTCCGGATTACAAAGTGGATATTTACGCACCAGGCTACAAATACAACTATACAAACCTGTATGGTGAAATAAGCCGACCGTCAATGTGTCCCCAACACTGATAGTCAATGACTTCTATCACACGGCCATTTTCACCAAAGATGCCCTGGACATCTTCCATCTGCGGCAGTCACTTGCATTTCAGGCGATTGGAAAGACGATCACCTTCTTTGTCATGTCTCTCACACATCCTCAGCTGTACACCTTCACCGAATTGGCTCACGTCCAGATACCCACAAAGAAATCAGACCTCTTGAATCTCGTGGGACATTTACACAATCTGGCTTTCATCTCCTCCATCCACAAGAATGATTGTGCACCATTGAGATCAAATCTGGACGATTTTCGCTGTGAGACCCTGTCTACCGCCTACGTGAAAGGTCGCCAAGTGAAACTGTCGCCCAAGAAACGATCCTTTGCGCTGACCATGGATTAGTGCATACTCCCTCTTTCTCGCCCGTCTCTCCATTTGTGTATTGTAACGATCCATTCACCCACATAACATATCCTATCACTTCTATTATTAATCTTTCCCATACTATCAATATCCCATGTTCCAGATCGCAGATTTCTCCATAGTCCTTACGTCACAAGCATGAAATAAAAATTCAATCAATGTACACAGCAGAAAAGGTAATCCCTTCACCGGGCATTTTTGCAAGCTGGGAAAGGGCATGGTTTTTATTCCAAGATGAACGAGCGCAGCGAAGGTCATCGCTCAACTGTCCGAGGAGGAACGAGGAACTCGAATGTTACCGGCCGCTTCCAAGTGTGCCACAGCCTATATTTATATACTAAATTTGGATTTAAAAGAAGACCATATCCCTATGTCTCTTTAGCCGTGAAAAGGCGTTGGCAGAGAACAATATTTGGGGAAGGGTTATAACTATGAGCTCTCGAAGCAGTTTTTTTTCATCTTATACTAATACTAGAAACATTCATACTAGTACTCTGTAACAGTAGTGTATACCATATATTCAGCGATTTACTGCATATATAAACCACGTGGCAGACAGGTCCTTTGCTAAGGCAAGTACACAGTCAAAGTGCTGGTGTTAATTTCGTAATTGCACTTTGTTTTGTTATTGCTGTGAGTTTAGTCCAAAAAAATTATTATCTTTCGCTCCGAACACACAAATCGATTATGAAACCACCGGCATCCGGGTTGAATGGCATTCCCGCCCTTGGCCCGAATAGCGCTGGTGGACGAGCCAATACTGGACGAGACTTTGACCGGATTGTCGCTGAAACGACAACTGGTATTGATCTTATTTTGGGATCTCAGTTGGTGAACCTTCTCGACCAACGAGCCTATGCTTTAGGCATGAAGGGGCAATTCAGACGAGCGATACAAGACACCGACATAATGATTTAACAAAAGCCCAAAGAATCTGTGGGCTATTTACGCTTGGCTGATCTGTACGAAATGCAAGGCAAGCAACTCCTGGCTGTCAACGCGTACGACAAGGCGCTTAGCTGTGCTACGCCGAATACGATAGAATATGCCCGTATAGTGAACGCCAAAAAGAGTGCCATCGAGAAGCACAATACGCGTGTCGATTACATCAGCTTGCTACCCGTCGAACTGGTGCATGCTATATTTGAGGATCTACCCCAAGTGACAAAATCGGCTTGCTTGGCTGTTTCGGCTGCGTGGCGGAAAAGGTTGATTGAATGTGCAGCGGCGTGGTCAGTGTTGACCACTGACGATGACGCAGGCAGCAACCACATTACAAGTGCGCTGGCGCATATTGCACATCATGTTGAAAGCTTGGTCATAAATACCTCTAACTCACTCATCTGCTACCGATACCTTGACAATATTCAAAGTGGTCTTTTTACCAGGCTCAGGACGCTTAGAATGACAGGTAATGAAAATGGATGGCTTGGGCTGTTGGGCTACGTTTGAAAATTACTGATCATTTCTCCCATCTTCATGTACATATAGATGCTACGACACAACTGATATCATCGCAGTCAATGACAACCATCATGTCCATAGCGTTCTATCATATCGGCTCCACAGTGACAGAACTCGACCTCGATTTGCTCGGTTTGGAGGGCAGCTCGGTTCCAATCACAACATTGGCTGATGTTCTTTCCATTTTCTCAAAACTGACGAAGCTTGTATTCAAAGCAAAAGGACCGTTACAACGCGCTGGTGGTAATGTGACGATGCTGCAAGGAAAACAACACACCGCTCTTGTTGATCTGGAGCTGCGGCTTGACGATATCACTCAAAGTATGATCCAGCCGTTCCTTATACATTGCCCGCAAATACGGCGTCTTATTATGCTTGGTTGTGCTCCATGTGTACTCCGTCCGGTCCGAAAACACTTGATGTGCCTCAAAATATTTGCATACAATTATCAACATCACGTAGCTGCGCTGGACTCTCGTCTTAGACAACCAAATCATCCGGGCCTGAATAAACTTTACACGAGCAACTTCGCATCTGTGCCTGCCAGAAGCATCCTGCCTCATATCCGCAAGTGTATGAAAACGGCTGAGATGTTATATCTTCATCTGGATGGGACGCGGGATGTCGCTATACTGAGTGCACATTATGCTGGTCTTCGATTCGGCAAGCTCAAGTCTCTCACCTTGCGGGAAACATCCGGGCTTCAGCCCATCTTCCTACGAGCCATTCAAAACTCGCGCTACTTGACGCACTTGTGCATGAGTGATGTAGTGGACTACAACGGGTTGGTGGACACCATGATTAGATTACCAGCGCTCGCACATTTTCAACTTCAAGCACACATGCCCGTCGATGTCACCATCTTGAACCGGTTATTTGAACATTATGCTACTTTATGCACGTCACCCAATGGTTGCCCGCTGTATACAATCGACTTACGTATGTGCTTCAATGTGACGGACAGTATACTGGACTCGCTGGCAAATATCACATCGCTTAAATCTATCACTTTGGGTGATGTGCGAGGCATCACGGCAGATGGACTCGGACGTTTTTACAAAACCTTGCGTAGATCCAACAAGGTGACCAATATTCGCTTAATGAAACTTGATGTCGTCGGGGACCAGACTCTTGTTTCGCTAGGCAAGATTAGCAGTTTGACAAGTATCCATTTGGAGAACCTGTTGATGGTGACAGATCGTGGCATTACCGATATGATTAACGCTAACAAAGACCGATTGTCTAGCCTGACCATCAAAAACTGTCTCCATGTACAGTATCAATCCGTAAGGTACGCGCGACGCAAAGTGAAAACAGTTGTATTCGAACGAGCTCAAGTGAAACAACCGGTGATTTTGGTGTAAGCCGCATATATTAGACCGCCCACAATAGCTGCCCGCCCTCTATATTTTTTCGATTGCTTTTTCCATGTATATATCCACCTCTCAATTTACCTTTTTCACTTTCAATGAATCCCTCCGTCGATAAAATCCACCTTCTGCCTTCTTCTCTAAGAAACAATAAAATTGACTCTTTTTTTGAAAAATAAGTCATATATTCTAAATTGATAGCTCATATTAAACTGGGAAACACATCCTCCTCGCTCTCTACTTCATACTGTTTTGGGGGTAATCTAGACCCACTCCTAGAGCGCCAGCCACTATATGCGCATGCTAAGCCGTGTTAATGTACTGAGTACAGTAGATATATAGCGAATATACACAGTGGACCCTGTTATTTTCAAGGATGTCATTTCTGAGCAATCTTGAAGATACGGCTGCTTTGAATGCCTTTGAAGGCCGAGTGGTAATAGTAACCTTCTAAATAAACCTTCAGAAATATATTTAGCAGGCTTTCTCATATAATCCACCATTCGAATTTGATACTAGTACATGTTTCTTTATTTGCTTGTTAGTCTAATAATGGTTTGATATTCTTTACCATAGTACAACATGCTGTTATATTAATGCTTGTATTTTTTTTTGTTAAGGGGACTCATGATCCAAATCTTACCTACCAATGGTGGATCCAAGGAATCCGGATTCTTCGATTATCTATTGCGCTGACCAAAATTTCTGTCAAAGTAGATTTTGTTCACAGAGATAGACATTGCCGAGAGCAGTTCAACTCTTTTCAAAGCACACCGGGTTTAAAATTCATTAGACGCAATAGAATGTATGAAAATGTACACATACCCGAAACCCCTTCTGAAAAGAAGCGTATATAGGGCCCTTAAAGAAATAGTCATTACCTATCCTAAACGAAGCTCAATCATAAAGGCTAGGCTAGAAAAGGAAAAATAACGAAGACTTGAAAACAGCCTGAGTCTTGGAAAAAGCGAGGGCCTACTGCAGTATCATCAATACTGTACATGAAAAAAACGCGAGGCTGGAATTTCTGATATTATTATTATTGTTCGATAATTTCAACATGACCGACTCTTCTTTGTACATATGATACAGTATCTTTGGATATTGTTTTACATTTATCTAGCGTCAAACTGCGCAGCCCCTTTGCTCCATCTACCATTCCCTTGATGCCCTCGTCTGTGATTTCTGACAGACTCTCCAGAATCACTGTCTCGAGTCCTTCCATATCGCCGAGTAATTCGATCACACTGTTATCCACTACAGCCATTTGAACCAGTTTGACCTCTGTCACACCAATCTTGCTGAGTCTTTTCAAAAAGCTCTTTAAACCTCTCGCTGACACCTTGACAAGACCCGTTAACGTCACTTCCTTGAGCGATTTGATCCCGGCAATGGCGTCAAGGACATCATCCGTAATAGAATTGCAATACCGAAACCAAAAAGTCCGGAACTTTTGCTTGGATTCTGACAACGAGGCATACAGCTGGAATAAGCGTACGAGACTGGGACCACCATCATCCGCAGTAATGTGCGATAGTTCCATCTCTTCTAGTGGTGGCAGCGTAATAAGGGTATCGACCAGTGCGGGTACATTGGGTGTTGCTACGGCAGCAATATGATTGAGCGTTGTGCACGATGAAACAGCTCGTAAAATCAGGGTTTGGATAATGCCAAATTTATCTGGCCAGAACGTCAAGCTCGTCAGTCGTTCAAAGTTCAAGTCACGATACGCTGGATAGGGATCTTCGTACGGCTCGTCGTTTTTCACCTGGTCTTCTGTAAGCGACAAGTTTGCATAAACTGTCTGCAGCGTTTTCATGTCTCGCCTTAAGAATGGTAAAAACTTTGCTGTAGGTGTTCCGTATCCCCCGTTAGCGGTATAAATGGCGCGTAATCCAGGCCCATTGCTGTCCCCCTCCAAATCATCCAAATCAGGAATGCCAAAGCTGGGGTTGTAACCAAATATTTCGAGATTTGGACATGTCCTGTACACCACATCCAGCACATCCGGCATGCTCTCGTTTAAAGACAGTCGCCGTAGTTTAGGGAGCCGTTTCAGTAATGGCTCGACTGCTGCACTTGTTGTTAGGGATATTGTCATCTCCAAATCGACGAGTCTTTTATGCGGCCCGCCGAGAAGCTCTAAGTCGCCCAGAATCAATTCAAGAGAATCCCATGCATTGAATACCAGAGACTCGAGGTGAGTACAATAGAATAGCACATCCGTAAGGGTAATAGGTATCAGGTACGAGTGGAAGCAGAATTCCAATCTGGTAAGTGTATTTCGCATCTGCCATAACGCGCTGGTCAGTGCCATGATCATATTAGTGTTGATAAGCTTGGTCGCTGCATCTAGTTTATTACCAAATTGAGTTGGAGTTCTCTTGCATTATTTTTTTTTTCATACCATCTCCAGGTCTGTTACTTACTGGTAACTTCCAATGCCTCGATCGTTCTAAAGTGACCCCTTTCCATATAATACAGGTATCTCAGCCACACCGACGGGTCCGTAGTTGTGATAACTAGGTCCTTTATGTGCTCGGCAATATATGGTAAAGCGCGCGCAATAATTGCATGTGCTGTGTCGTCGTCATTAGAGACATTCACCCACGCCAAGTGGCAGCCTGATACTCTCTTTCGCCAGGTGGTGGAGACATCCAAGCAAATGGCCATTGTCTTGTCCGGCATCTGCATGATAATGTCGTCGCCCAACTCTAATGGAAGTGTAGCAAGGAAATCGACCCTTCGCTCGGCTTTCTCCATGGCCACTTTCTTTCCGGTCAGCAGTTGTGCATATGCTGAGTCCTCTTTTGACACCTTTTCGAGGGCTTCTTGATACACTTTAGCAGCCCTTGACTGCTTGCCTTGCAGATCCAATATATAACCAAGCCGAAGGTATCCTGCCGCCATTTCAGGTCCATAAACAATCATTTCCTCAGCGTCCTTGACTGCTGCGTCAAAGCTACCCTGCATTCCGAGAGCGTAGGCACGATGGTCGAGTATAGTCATGAGTTGTAATCGCTGGATATCAACTACCGCAATTGAAGCAAGACTGACTGTGTCTTTATAATTACGTTTGCTGAGGGCGGTTTTGACATTTGTGAAAGTAGTTTGTGCTGGAGTTGGATCGAGAATGGAAATCGGCAACTGAGCAGATTTCATTTATCACCTTGAGTAAAAAACAGCTTGGGAAAAAAAAAAGAGAAAAAGGAAAAAGGGAAAAGCAAAGTAACGAGTGAGATACAATAAAGTGTGCCACCAGTCTGCATAACACGATAACAAAGCCAACCTCCGCTGTTGTTACACATGTTGATGTTATTGCAAGCGGTCTTCTTCCATATCCCTTTAGGAAAGAAAAATTTGAAACACGTTACCTTGAAGGCACAGATATCGAGGCAAAGAATGGAATTCGAGCGTAGGTAGCTTACTTAAAGGTTCTTTGAATTACTACTGCAGACAGGCTTGTGCTGCGCGTCGCTGGTCCGGGCGCAGTAATTGTATTACCATTTCTGTATCCACAGCCCAAGTTCAGGAGTATTCTCACTTCTTATTTAGGTTTCTAGGCATCTCGTAGCATGTACAATTTGAATGGAAGCTTAATTATCAAATAAATCAATTAGTTTGGATTATAATCCATGTCTAGCAATAAGATGATCTCTTATTTATTGTTCGTAAATTACATAGCATGGGCACTATTGAGAACAGCCTTCATGATTATTGCTACTATGGAGATATCATAACAACCGACTGCCTAATTAAGAGATACCTCCATCATCCTCGCTATCTTGTCTTCATCTGCCATCCTCCGCCACCATGCATCCAGGCACAAGTAGAAATTGGTGCACTACAGTAGTGTGACATGCAGAAAAGGATCGCAGCCATATTAGGTGGCTGCACCAGACAGGACCAGGTTCAATTACGTAGATGTATACAGTGGAAAGAGCCTATGTATTTGATCAATGATTAGTTTTTATCACGTTAGCCTACGCTAAACCGCTTCCTATATGATACAACAATTGTTCGCCGCAGCTTAACCTTATTGGTATGGCTCTGGTACTGTAACTGTTTGTTTTAAGGGGTTCTGTAAGCTGCTACTACAGTATGGAGATGATCTGACAACTGAAATAGTATCTTAAGAAAAACACGACTGCCATTTACAGTTTCATTATCTAAAGTAGTACTTGCAACCAGCATCATGATACACAGAGCTCTTAATTAAAACCATATTTCAAAACATGAAGACCTTTTCTAAATATAAGTATTAAAAGGACCATACGCTCAAATAAACAGGCTAACATAATCATCTCAAAACGTTACGTAATTCTGGCAAATTCCAAGCCCAAATATGAGTATACAAGCAATGTTCTCCTAACTGCGCAGCATAAGAGTAAGAGGCTTCAAGAATCGATATTGTTGGCTTTTTCAGCTTTATTTTGGTGTAGATTAGTTGGTTAATCAAAAGGATGGAAACCGCTAAAGTCATCATCGATTTCTTCTTCCTCTTCTTCTCTAAGTATATCTACATATTTAATTTTGCTGCTAATGTAAGATAGAGTGTTTTCCGAAAGTGCTACACAATTCTTCAACGTAATTTTCTGCAGGCTCTCTGTACTATCCGTCATACTTCGGATTCCTTCGTCTGTAATTGACAGCAGATTCTCTATATAGAGTGACTCCAAACATTTCAAGTAGCTTAGAAGCTGGAGAATACCGTCATCAACTGCGTCCACTTCGCTGAGTCCGACCTTGATTATCCGAGCGTGTTCGCTTGCTCTTGTTAGAAAAAGTATTAAGCCTTGGCTTGTGATCTTGGAATCTCCGTAAATTTCGATGTCTTCGATAGTCTTGAGCTCTGCAAGTGCGACCAATACTTCATCTGTGAGTAAAGCGTTGTTGTGGAGGCGGACTTTCGTAAGCTTTTGGTTGGCTTCCGGGAGCGCAGCATAAGTCTTGAGCAACTGTATCAGGCGTCTGTTGTCTTCATCTTCATCATCACTTGATATCCATGAGAAATTCAGTGCTTCAACCGGGGGTATTAGCAGTAACGTATCGACCACTGAGGATAGACGGGAGGAATTCACTGTATGAAACAGGGCAAGTGTCTTCTCGTTGCAGTTGCATGACTCTTCGATTGACTTTAAAAACAGCGGTTCGAACACCTTATCGGTATCTATCCGATACATGAACTCCTCTAACCGCTCAAACTTGAGCAGCTCGCCAGAATTCGGACGGTAACGTGTTTGGAGATGGGTGTTGCTTTGTTCCTGCTCACTTGTCGATATGTTTGCGTATATTCGTTCTAGTGTTTTTGCATTTTTTCGTAGCAGTCGCATAAATTTGTCAGCAGGTACGCCAGTCTCACCATTTGGTGTGTAAATACCGCGTAGACCCGGTCCATTGGGATATTTGTCGCGATGTAGCTCGTCTAGTTCAGGAATGGCAAAATCTGAATCATATCCGAATAGTTCAAGGTTTGCGCAGCATTCATAGACGATATCCAATACACTGGGAGTACAATTGTACAACGACAGCCGGCGCAGATCTGGGCACCACTTTACGAGTGCTTTAAGTGCGTCACCCGAAGTTGATTCTGTTGTTATTGTCATGTCAATCAGTGAAAAATGTGGCTCGCCTAGATACTCCAGATCACCAAGCATTGATGCAAGCGAGTTCGGCATTTCCGTCACCAACGTCTTTAGGTGCGGACAGTAGAATAGTATATCTGAAAATCGTAATGCAACTTCGTGATGTTTGATGGTAATGTCCAGTTTTGTTAAAGTATTTCGCATATGCCATAATCCAGTAGTCCATGACATCATCTGCAAACACGTATCGGTGAACGTGGCTACATCTGATCCTGATCCATTTAATAAAAGTGAGCATGATAATTCGTATTTTAATCACTAGAGTTTACTTCCTATAATCTTAAGAGATATACTAACCTATTATTTTCAGTGTTGTTATGTTCTTAAAGTCACCGTTTGCAATGTGGTTTAGATATCTTAACCATACTTCTTCATCGGCAGTATCGATTGTCAAATCTCTTATATGCTCGGCAACATAGGGTAATACACGTGTAACCATAGCATCCGCAACACCATCGTTGCCATTGTTAGTTATTTTTGCCCATGCCTGTGGACAACATGTTATCCGTTTACGCCATGTAGTGGAGACATCCAGAAGCATTGACCTTTCCCGCTCTGGTAAGTACGTGATGATATCATCGTGTATTTCAAGTGGAAGTGCAGCGACAAAGTCGAAACGATGCTCATTTTTCTTGGTTGTCGCTATCTTGTGTTTCATCAATCGAGCATATGCTGGATCGCTCTTGGGCACCCTGTTCAGAGCTTCTTCATAAATTTCAGCTGCTCGTGATAATTTGCCTTGCATAACCAAGAGATCACCAAGTCGAAGGTAGCCAGTCGCCATGGTGGGTCCGAAGGTAATCATGGTCTCGGCGTCGCTGATAGCAGCATGGAATTTGCTATTCATACCAAGAGCGTAAGCGCGATGATCAAGAATTGCTACTAGTTGCAGTCGTCGTATATCGTCTATGGCTTCTGATGCGAGTTGGACCATGGCGCCATAATTGTGACGGCTGAGAGCGTCTTGAAGTTCAATAAGCGGATTTCCACTCAAATCAATTGTCATATGAGATGGTAGCAACGGAGTCGTTGATTCCTGCATCTTTTTTTTTATCTAAGGAAATATAATCGTGAGTTTCGGTACTGTTGCACGCATAAACGCGCTGTTGTACACATTACCCCGTGAAAGATGAGAGAGACTCTGACAAGGTCAAAAGCTGGTTTGCAACGACACTGTCTTTTTAAATGATGGAGTAGAGGCTGAAGCGAGGCGCAGCACTTGGGGTATGTATCACCAAGTTGCCTCATTAGATTCAGCAGAGAACATCTACAATTCCATTTGTATGACGGAGACACAGAGCGGTGATTAGCCGATATTTTCACCTCGCACAAGCAATCATAAACTTCATTATCAGGAAGCCAGCTCCGGTGGTTCTTCCCATTATCCATCGCGTACCCCTCCTACTGACCATGGTCACCTGCGATTCAACCACCTGTTCGACATACACCTTCGACGTCAATCCTGCCATGGCGTCATTCAGCAAAGTCAAACGCGCAATTGAAGAACATGATTACAATCTCGCCATTGACTTTGCCTCTACTACGATTGACCAGATTCAAACACTTCAGTTGATCACTGCACTCGATCATCGCGCCTATCCCCTGGCCAAGAAGGGACGATTTGACGAGGCAATTCAAGACTCTCAAAAAATTGATCACTGGCCCCTACCTTTGCAACAGGATATAATCGATTGAGTGACTTATACACGCAACAAGGGAAACAGTTGTATGCCATGAAAGCCTATGAAACGGGTCTACAAAACGTGGCGCGAGACGATCCAAGTTACGCCCAACTCAACAACGGTAAAGATGCTGCGCGAAGACAACATGAAAAACGCATCGACATCGTCCGTCAGCTTCCGGTAGAGATCGTCGAAGAGATTCTTATGCTGCTGCCCAAAGAGTTTAAATCGGTCTGCCTCCAAGTTTCAAACGCGTGGTGCAAAAAGACATCGTGCTGCGCAAATGCGTGGAAGGTATCGAGTGACGATGACATCGATGACGACCAGATGATCAACACCCTGCAGTGCATCGCCGCTCACGTTGAAGACCTGACTATTAACACCGAAGAAAATGAAGTCTTAGACCAATATTTTCTCCACATGGGGAAAGGCCATTTTTCGAATATACGGTCACTCCACCTTACAGGTTTGTGGTTTGCAATGGCAAATATAGGGTCTTTTGAAGCGACATTTTCTAAACTTAGACATCATACTTACTCTTATATATAGCAACCGCAACATGAATCATCAATCAAAGACTAGCTTACCCCATGGCGCTTGCTTTGTCCAATATAAACAACACTTTGACACGAATTCGACTTGATTTCACAACGTGTCAACAAATACCCGTCATCGTTACGATCGGGGATCTCTTATACGTATGCACGAACGTGACAGATCTGCAATATAAAAGCCTATCCTCCTTTGATGACGCTATCGGTGACTTATCGTACACAGAGCAGCATCAGGCACTTCTGGATATACAAATCACAGTCAGACCGAGATCAGTATCTGCATCAGCTATTACACCTCTGCTACAACGTTGCAAAAAGCTACATCGTATAATCCTGGATGGTTGTGCCCCAGATGTATTAGACGTCGTTGACAACAGCACATACTGTTCTAACTTACAAATATTCGGCTACAATTGCAAACATTCGCTGCCTGCTGCTTTGGTAAAAAGCTCAAAGGCAGCACAGCCGATTGCCTCTGGCTTGCGTGCGTTTTATACAGAAAACGTGAACGAAAAAGAGGAAGGTGAAAATGTACTACGGGTGCTACGGCGAAATGCAGCGACACTTGAAACCGTCCACGTGAAAGAACTTCGGAATGATTCCTGGAATGCACTGGCCCAAACCTACTTGAATTTGAATTTGGAGAATCTTGAAAGACTGGTGTACGAATCTGCCGACCGAGACACTTTGCAACCAGTACTTATACAAGCAATCTCTGCTAGCACAAAGCTATCACACTTGGCCGTACAATCTCCAGGCAGCCTGCTTCCTTTGGCTCAAACACTATCAGCATTACAACAACCGGTGGAAGTATTGAAGTTATCAGATTGCTATGCTCCGCCAGCTGATTATATGAACTTGGTCAATTTGTTTAACGTATACGCTGCGCTCTCACCCTCACCTGCTACGACAAGAGCATTCCGAGAAGTCTCATTTCTAGATTGCGAATCCTTAACTGACGCCACTCTTACGGCACTGGCCAAGATTGACTCACTGAAAAATATCACACTAGGATATTTAGATGGCCTTTCTACTCATGGCATCCTTGCATTTTTTATGAGCTTACGTGATGGTGTAGAAAGTATCAAACTTATTGGGATGGGCGCTATAACCGACGAACATATCATTGCCCTAGGCAGTCTAAAGGGACTAAAGCGAATCCACATGGAAGAACTACACGAAGTTACTGACCAAGGCTTAAACGATATGGTGGATAAGGCTCCAGTGCTATGTAATCTGACATTTATAGATTGTAGTAGTACTAGTCAAGCAGCCATCATATATGCGAAACGAAGAATTCGAATTGTCCAAACTGAATAATAGTAATAAAAAATACTGTTTGTACTTTTTTCTCTGTAGCAGGAGTGCTTTGTATAATCATATCAGATAGTTTTAATAGAGGCGGTAAAGCACTTACTGTAGTCAATGAGGTTTGCATATGTGTCTCGTATCATGCATCATATCACATTTGTGAGGTGCACTTAAACGACTTGCTCACGGTCTTGAGATATTCGTTCGCCAAAAAACTGGTCAGCAACTTTTTTTATGTCGTCAAGTTACATTACGTTCTAGATTCAATCATTGGTTTTCCATCCGGGAAGATATTATTGAAGCGACGAGCAAGAAGTGCTTAGCTTAATCTTGCTTCTACATTTTGAAAAGCTTATGTGGCGGATCAGAGCACTTGCGAGTGTAAAACTTTGCTGATTATGCTTTGGTTCTGAGAAAAAAGAGTCATAGTATGTAATATCGATGATCTTCGATTATTGAAGCGGCATTACTTACGATTCCCTTGTCAGTTGTCAGTTAAGGATAAAATTTTACTTTGATGAAGTCATAGCGTAGTGCTGGTGTATATGCAGACCCAGGGAAAAAATTAGGCTCGCATGTAAGAGTCATGCATTATACTAGCCACTGCGGATCGGCAGTAAAAAGAGAATGCATTAATTGCCAGAATTAGACTAGCACAAGTCCCACGACATTCACAACAAAAGCGGTTAGCCTATTTCCAATCTTGCACAGCCCATAATGAACGATCAAGAAATCTGCGACTATCTAACAGCGTATAATAATGCAGGTGCCATTTAGTACGTTTTTACATCAAATAGGTTTTCTTATGTACATAAAGAACAAATACTACACATGTTGCTTATACAATCAATAGAAATTATATCGATAAAAGAAGAGGCATAGATTATATTTTACAAACGATGAAGTAGAAGAAGTGATGGAGTGATCCTTACACCTAAATCTTCGGGTAGAGAAATATACTACTTGAATAAAAAGCTGGGGGAGGGTATGATGGTACTATATTTTATCGTGACATACATAGAAGCTCATCGTAAGTGGGTAGATGACTATTTACAACAGATGAGGAAGAGAAAGGGTAAGTTGATTCGCCCTCGTCTGGAATGGGGAATAGATTAGCAGCACTACAAGGCCGAGCCGACGATGAAGTAGAAGCAGCATGCATAATAACATCATGTCGTCGTTGTACCAGCGAGGTACCACCAACAGCATGATCATTGCTATCACGATTATTACCATCATCCTCATCCGGACTACTCGTAGGCTCGTCTTCAGAAGTTCGTTCAAATCCACCAAAGAATGACCAACTTCTTCGTTGACGATTTCTTCTGTTGTTATTATTACTACTGCTCGTCGTAGACGACGCTGTCCGCCGCCCAAATGCTGTTGTAGCACCAACATCACCACTGTCACCAATGTCACCCCTATTACTATTCGCAGTAGCAGCAGCTGATCTGTGATGCAACAACGACACCATCAAAGCAGGATCATAAGGCAACGTCTGCCATGCTTCTTCATAAGTAGGCAGTCCTGTTGTGGTTGTGGTTGGACAAATAATGACAGGCAACGCTGCCCGCAGCTCAGACACATGGCCATCTGGATTCTCTATCGACACGACAAATTTAAGCTTGTGACGGACTCGCACGGTATCGTTCTGGACGTCGCACTGGATCTGGTGATTTGTCCGCGGCACTGGCACGGTAATAACTTTGGACCATACGATAAAGCTGTCATCGGTACTGCTGTTGCTTGATCCAAAGTAGTCGTCACGCGTAAAGCGAATGATACGCCCTTGGGCCCGCGAATGGCCTCCAAACCAGCCACTTGTTGCGCGGCATATCAAGTACTCTTTAAACGTGCATGACAAGTGTCTGATCCGCAAATCACTCACCAGTGGCGTCACTCGAATACTGATGGGAATGTCATCGCCATGGCAGAATGTTTTGGACGGTATGCTGATCTCATAGTCAAGTTTGTTGGTCCATTGGTTTGCTACGATGACAGGCTCAAGAAATTCAGGCGTCAGAGGCAACATTTGTCGCGACAAGTGGATGAGCTGGGACGCAGTGTTGTTGGGTAGAAGTCTGGTCCGTTGAACTGTGGCCTTGAGCCGATACTGCACAAGGTAAAACGAGGTGATGTGTGTGGACTCTGGCAAGTTGCCTGGTAGTGGTAGTTCGAACTCGTAGCTGTAGCATCCGGGATCCAGTTGGTGATGGGCTGATGTTTTTGGCAAGAAGTTCCAGGTGTGGTTTATCAGTAGCCGCTCGTCTTGATACAGTCGTTCGTGGCCATGGCTTACAGCTATAAAAGCATCTTTACGAGGTTGACGGATCAGGAGAGGTAAAGAGTCGTGGAACTCTGATAATCTTCTCTACAGTACTACTGTATGATCACTTACGTTCGGTCCAAGTAATTGTCATCTTTCCAGTAAACCGCAGCGAAATCGCTTTGACCTTAGCTGGTTCCTGCACACAAACATCAAGCACGCCACGGAGCACACAGCCAGCGGATTCTGAAGGCGTACCATACATCATCAACTGATCGCTTTCAACGTGTATCTTGGTTTTGATGGCTGATCGGATACGGTCCATGGTATTTGCAGAGGTAGAATGGCACAAGAATGAATATAGTGCAGGGATGCTATATTTCTGTTTTCAACGAGCGAATAAGCGAGCAAGGAAAATAAAAAGAGAGATAAAGAGAATATTTCAGAGAATTACCAAAAGGAAACGAAAAAAGAAGCTCAGCGCACTCGTTTTTGTGCGTGTGTAAGGGCTGTGTGCACAGATCAGATGATAGCATCCCCTGCCAGAAGAGTGAGTCAAGCACTTGGCTAAATTAGGCCCTGGAGGATTTCCCGGAAATACTTTTCTGAGGACCGTGAGAGAGAGAGAGAGAGCGCAGAGAAGGCCAATAGTGCGTTTGTGAGGCTGCTTATGCGTTATTCTTTTGAAGCATGAAGCAAATGAGAAGATGCCCCCGCTGCTGTCATCATCCCACCCGCTTCTATATACTGTCAATGAAACGATGGGTATAGAAACGAGCACGTTCTTATATGGGAGTGGTAATCCCTCGGTTAGCGTGCTTTTTGCAAATCCTCACATATTTATAATATCTCGTCAGCAACAGCAGGCTTGTGTCCAGTAAGATAATTGCAGAAGGACTACAATGGAAAGTCGTGTGGGAGATACATTTGACAAACGGTGAAGCTGTTTCTCTTTCTTTTTCTGTCATGCGACTTTTTGGGGAACCATGTCGTTGTCATACGAGCATGATTCTTCTTGTTGTTGTCTGGAAAAACTTATTCGCAGAAATCTTCCGCATATTAAACGAGTAGACGTTTGTGTCGCGTGCCGAGGTGGGAATAAGCTGATCATTGGACGTCTGTCTGTTTCTCTCTTCCCTATCATAACTAATCTTTCTCTACCACGTCGTGTTCCGCGGAACCAGGAAAAACCGCCGTGAAAGAAAAAAACGCTTGGACCGAGACTTACGCTGCCTTCATTCACCGAAGCTTAAATGCTATTTGCTCAGCAGCAATCTATGTCGACAATGTGCCCCTTGGCACTAAGCGGCACATGCTGCCAAGCGTGCATAAATGCCTTGGTAGGTGTTGTGTAGCATCAAGTGGCTTTCTGTTTTTGTTTGTTGTTTCGGCAATCGAGTTGGCGCATCAATATTGATGAAACAAGCAAGTGTTCAATTAAGCTATGTACACATGTGCGTGTTTGTTTGTGCCTTTCTTAGACATTTAATGGCAGTATGTGCCAATGCTTGCTTCTGATTCTGAGGGTGTATAGTGGCGTCAGAGAGAGTTGTACCCTAAGAACAGTTTCAAAAAAAGGGCAACAGACATGTCAACGCTAAAGAAGCTACTGTTTTCAGTGACAAACAAGCATACACAAGTACTCGCATGCACAGAACATATTTGAGTTTAAAGCCAAGCAATGATAACGAAATTGGGAGTATGCAGGGGGACTTGGGGGCTTCTTGCAATTACAAGATGTACTCCGCTGCCAGCCAGCAGTAGCAGAGCTCCCAACACATCTTCCGACCGCCACTGGTAATAGCCCCACCTCTCCTAAAATTTTTCAATATTTCCTTCTACTATGCACCGAGCGCTGGTCCACCTCGACGAACCTTACACACACAATGCCGTGATTAAGGCATTACAACGCAGCAAACTTGAATTCGACATTTGCGACGCCATTGCTGAGGACAACAGCGAGGCTGATTTGATTTCGGCACCCAATCCGATCGCATTACAATGGTTGGAGTACGAGCTGATCAACTGGTCGTTGCTTGCTGCAAAGGAAGAAACAACTATGGCCAATGCATATTGCATACGCAAGGGCCTGATCCGCAAAGCACAGTTCTCGTACAATGTTTCGAAATATCTGTCAAAGAATCCAGAGAGTATCTTGAAGCAGGCGATCCCAGAGACCTGGCAATTCGAATTGGATCACATTGACTATATCGACGAGGCCCTAAATGAAGTGTTTGAAGTCGAAAGAGATTTGAAAGAAAACGAATTAAGCGGGACGCAAAAGCACGTTTTCATCATCAAGCCGAGCATGGCCAACAAAGCTGCAGGGATCCACGTGTTTGATTCGCTCAAGCAGTTATGTGCCATCTTTGAAGAACCAGAGAGCGACGATGAGCAAAGCGATAGCGGCTATGATGAGGATGATGATGATGATGATGATCAGGAAGACTTGTCTCAAGTACGCGAATGGGTGATACAACGCTATATCAGTAATCCACTCCTTGTCAATAACCACAAGTTCCATATCCGCGCATACGTTCTGGCGATCTCTAATATCCAAGTTTATATCTACCGCGACATGCTCGCCTTATTTGCCCTTCGACCTTACGATTTGACGAAACTCTCGGATCCATTGGCACATATCTCTAATACCTGCATACAGACCAACCAAGCTGATTTCGATGAAGACCAATCCGTACGGTTGTTCTGGGAACTCAACAAATCTGGCATACAGGATCAGGATTTGGAAGGCATGTTTAGTCAGATGCAGGCTATTCTGGCCGATGTGTTTGACGCCTGCACAAGTGAAATGACAACTCTCCAAGCTATCCCGAATTCGTTCGAGCTGTTTGGCGTTGACTTTTTGGTGGATGCTGATCACAAGGTGTATTTCTTGGAGACGAACGCGGTAAGACCACTTTTATGCTTTATTTATCGTCGCTTTAATATTGAAAGACTAACAATTTCTGAAGTTCCCGGATTTCAAACAAACTGGATCCAAGCTACAACACGTTGTTCAAGAACTATTTGATGCCACCGTCCAGACAGCCATTGAACCTTTCTTTGGTGACCGGACACCCGAACAACACCCCAAGTTAACCAAAGTGTTTGACAAAAAGTTGCTTTCATTACAACGATAGTAAACTATTCAAGTCATCTTATACTGTAATTTTTTTTTGCTTTCTGTATTACGTATCATGCATCCTACAAGCTACCATCTGCATAAACCTTTGTTAAACCTTCTATTCCCTTTTCGACCTTGGTCCATGTAACAGGACAACGATTATGTTCCTCAACATAGTGGTATGCGCATGTGTAGCAAAAGACATAACCGGATGGAAGGGCAGTCGGATTGTTGATGGGGGAGGTTAAGCAAAGTGGGCAAGTGTTTCGCGTGGAAGGTATTGGTGTTCCGCGTGGATCGGCCTAGACAGATGGAACCATAAAGATGAGTCGACCTAAAATCGCTTACCAGGATGCTGTTTCATTACCTTTAATTTTTCTGGAGGAGGAATTGTGTTTTCTGCTTCATCGTCACCAAGGGCGCCTGCATTACCACCCCGTGCAAATTCAGACGAATACCACCATTCCAGGAACTTGTAAAAGAAGATAGACATTGGTAAAAGCACCTTGAGGAATTCAATAACTTTGCTGAATACGCCCGTCATGGTACTGAGCGACGACGACAGGAACGATGAGCTGCCATCCTTAGGTTGTGCTTGTGCCAATTTATCGTAATATGTCCGCTATATACGCTAAAGTTACTTTCCTCTTCTCGTGTTCAGATAACACATAGCTGATGAAAACTTACATAATCCGCCATACTCATCCGTTTGATCTCTAGCCCAATCAAATGTAACCAAGGTGAATAGTATTTGGTTTTGCCAAAGAGATATGCAATGTTGTATGCTAAATTCAATCCATGGTAGAGCATGTTGATATAGGGATAGACCTTGCGGAACAACTGAGTCAGCCGGATCGCCAGCTTTCGCCTTACTGGAATATCCAGATCTGCCAATTCCTCTGCCTCTCTTTCCTCCTGCTCATTCCCACCGAGAATCGATGCTGATAGGCCGCCAGAAATTTGCGAATAAAACAGGTCCAGCCTGCATTTGACGTACGGCAAACCCACCAAGACAAGCAGCGACTTGCTGATTTCGCTGCGTGTCAAAGCTGGTGTGCTGTTTTGGCCACCGTTGACAGCGGCTGCGAATTTGTTGTTGCTCAAGTAGGCTGATGAAACTCGCTTCAGACCGTAAAAGTTTTCGGCAAAGGATGCACCTTTCATTTTGATTTTTTGATATATTTAATCGTGTGTCTGCTATTTCAAACGCTAGCTTCTCTACTTATTCATAAAAACACATACCCCACTCTTTCAAATAATGCCGTTCAACAAAGAACATGAGGATGGCGTAGAATTCTTCATGGTTATTGACAACTCGGATTAGCAGTCGAGGGTATCGTTGAGCGTAAATCTACAAGTGCAGTACAGTTAGGAAAACGGGTTAAATCACCACCACCTAAACGATTCGAAAAACGCAAGAAACTACTTACAGCAAGAACATATTGTACTGCAGGCTGAAGCAGTTCGCGTAGCTTTTGTTGGGCATCAAGCTCAAACAGAGAGGGCCTATAGGCATCCTCCTGTGAGCCCAATGCGCTCATGAACTCCATGTTTATGTTATATCAAAGTAATAGTAGTAGTAGTAGTAGAGATAATAGTTAAAGCCGAAATAATAAAGCTGAATAAGCTTGAGCTGACTGAAAAAAATAGCCCAACGGTTATATTTTGCGGGGTAATTTGAAATTATGTATGCCTATTTGCTACTTCCGCAAGAATAGCGATTACGAGAAACACAACATAACGATGGACAACGCAAACGATAATGCAAAGACTAATGCCGATCTACTTGCAATGAACTTTCCTTCAGGCGCTCAGCCTGATATAAGTACGTATGATTTAAGAGGCATCGGTAGAAAGGAGGCTAATCAAGCAATTCTCTTTTGTGCGGGGCAAATAGTTCGTTCGAACCAAAAAGACGTTTACTACCTTGCGGTACTGCAGGAGCAAATGTCCAGTGTTTGTCAACAGTTCCTCGGTAAGCTTAAACAAATAGACAGAATCAAGCCAAATGATTGCTAATGACGAACGACAAACAGGATCGAGACTACAACACCAATGGCAGAAAGAGATCAATACCCTGTCAGACTTTTGTTACTACGGACTGACAACGTTGCTTGGTAATATTGAATAGCGAGGCAACGGGAAGATTTGCACAACAGGGAACTCATACATAATTTGTTTATTATCCAAAGGAACACAAACGTTGGGGGAAGAGTACTGTGATCTGGCCCAGATCAACCAGTATGCACAAACATATCCTGGTGTCATTGTAAGTACATGCTTATGTTTGCACGTGAAGAAAGGTAAAAAGTAAACTTGGATTGATGAATCATTTCTTCTGTATATTTTAGCGACGAGCATCGCTAGTATTTGCACATACTCTTTTACCATACATATACACCCGCACAGTAACAGAGTTGAAACGGCGTGGACGTCGACAACAGCATACTCGTAACAATAACGACGATGAATCAATGAGTCTCAAAGACCGAGCCTCGCGCTTTGCTACAGTCTGGTTACAACCATTGCAGGAATTCTTTGCCAAGAACGTGCGACCCATTCATTTAGCTATTTTTTACTTTTTCGGTGCCTACTATAATTTTTCAAAACGGATAACCGGTATTCGCTATGTAAGTCTATAGTTTCAAGCGAGAAAATACCTTCTTTGGCCCTATTTTTTTTGTGGGTGTTGGGGAGCGTATTTCTGATATACCGTGACGGGTTGTGCGAAATTGTATCCATTTAGATTTTTACTCGCCAGTTGGGTCCGCATGAACAGCGTGTGGGATACGAAGTCTTGGGTGTGCTCATCATTGCCCAGTTGGCCATCCAAGGCTATATGTCTTTGAAGAAGCGCATGGAGGCTCGCAAGCGGATCCAGGAAGAAGCAGCGTTGGCAGAAATCAAAGAAACCGAGGCATCGGAAAAGGAAGAGCAACAAGTACTTGTTGATGATGATGATGATGATGCTACTGCTATAAAGGACGAGCAACTTGCAGATGATGAAGACTTTGATTTCATGGATAAATTTGAGGCTGATGATCAAGGAGAAGGCGAGCAACAGCAGGGTGATCAAGAAGATGAACTCGACGAAGAAGAAATGCAAATGCTCAAATGTGCACTCTGCTTGGAGCCGCGGAAAGTGACAACCTCCACACCTTGCGGCCATCTGTTTTGCTGGTCATGCGTGGTCGAATGGTGCCAAAACAAGGTACATGATGTTTTATAATTAAGGATATATGCACGCCACATATGCAAAGTGATTGACATGTTTTGTTTACCTTTTTCTTCCTCCTATTTCTGCGTCTGTCTATCGTAGCCTGAATGTCCTCTGTGCCGTAGTTCGGTGAACATTTCACATCTGATACCATTGAATAATTTCTAGCTTGATAATAACAGTGATAATAATTTGCTTTCTTTGTTTTTTGTACTGCTCAATTGGAGGGACTTTTGAGCCAGGAAAATACTCGGATAATCGTTGTTTGTGGCACCCGGATTACTATGCCATATATGGGATAGGCGTACAAGGGAGGATGTGGGGTGGAAGTGCAACGTGAGATGATAAATAGCGTCTTATACGTGTGCATTTATCTTTGATCTCTTTTCCTGTTGCTCCTTTTCCTTTTTCACAGACTTTAAATATGGCTGGCTCAACAGTAAGTTAAGAAGCGGTTCTCTTCCACAAGATGCTTTCGTATTAAATAAAAAGCCAACGATTTGTTTGTATAAAAATAGATTAGTACTCAGTGGACACATCTCATCAGGTACCATATTTCAAGACAGTTATCTGGCTTACTGGATACATAGGATGGAAAATGAAAAGTTGCTCAACTGTTATATCTTGACTTAGATTTGAGGACGAGCACGGCAATGTTCGTTATGGCCAGCCGATCCTTAGTGGATCACAACTTACTGTCGCGGATGTCAGTGGTGGCCAGTTGAAGGCCTATCTAATCGAAGGGGATGTCTTCGGCACTCATCGAGTTACAAGCACTGTGCTATCTGTTAAGAAGGTAAAACTTGGTGGTTCTCTATATCATCTCAAAGAAAAGAAACAAACTAAAAACTTATACGCTACATTAGGTGCTCGCTCCTATCCTTCCACCTTTCTACAGAGGCATCGGCCTCAATTACCGCCGTCATGCGGAAATCACCAAAGCAAAGACACCACAAAACCCTATTGTATTCATCAAGCCTCCAAGAACGACAGCAGGTCCGCTGGACCCAATCATTATTCCCACCATATGCCAGGACGGCCAGACCGATTATGAAGCCGAGTTAGCAGTGGTGATTGGCAAACCTTGCAAGGATGTGTCCAAAGAAGAGGCACTAAATTATGTTGCTGGTGAGCTCTTTCTGTCTATTATTTGCATATAGAGTATATGCTGTATGCTATTTGAAGGGAAAACAGCTGCTAAGCGACTGTGTACTATAGGCTATACTGCATGCAACGATGTATCTGCACGCAAGTGGCAAACACAATTATGCGGAGGCCAGTGGTGTTTTGGTAAGGGGTTCGATTCATTCAACCCTATCGGTCCGATGATCGTCTCTTCCAAAGTTATGACGGATCCCAACAACGTGCGCCTTGGCACCAAAATCAACGGCAAGGTGCTACAGGATTGGAATACGAGTGATATGAGTATGTCTCTTGGGGTTTATCTCCTCTTCTTCTTTTTTATATAAGCAAGATTATTTTGTCACAAAAGAAATCTTTGTTTATTAATACTCACACCATTCCTTTATTCAGTTTTTGATGTGGCATCAATCGTCAGCTTCTTGTCGCAAGGATCTACATTGATGCCAGGGGAGATCATTTGTACTGGTACCCCTCACGGCGTCGGTTCGATCCTGTCGCCCCAGGTGTGGCTCAAGGATAAAGACGTGTGCGAGATCTTTGTTGACGGCATCGGAAGTCTTGTGAACCCTGTCGTGCACGCAAAGGGCACAATCAAGCTGTAAATAAAAATAAAGCTACTTTTTTTTTTCCACATATCTTTTGGATTCAGGGCAAGGATCATTTCGTGTATTTAAGTGTCTGATGTATAATAGAGCTTTCTCTTTCTCTGTGGTCTTTGGAGAGGCTCAGAATGAAGCTATTGTTGTTGGTGTAGTATGGTGTTTGCTGCCATCAACAAGAGTTGTTGTTTTGGCCCTTCATGAGCAAAGATGATGTTCGTATTATACGTCATGTTCTTTATCTTCTGAAGCCGACGGAGATGTTGTTATGTAGGTTGCACGTTGCAAAAGGACCGGAGCTTGGGAGAAGATTCTGCCAAATTTTGGATATATTGATCGCACACTTGTGTACCGTATCAAGCTGCACAGATCACGACAAGTGCTGTGTTGGTTTACGTATGAAGCTGAAGGATGAACAAGCTTATGTCTTTTTTTTTTTGCTTCATGATCTGGGTGTGCATTGCTGTTTGCTTCATAATCACATGGAAAATGAATTATTCCGGCAAAACAGGCTGCTGTGCCGCGTGCGACGATGATGATCGTACCTTTCTATCTCTCTCTCTCTCTCTCTTGACTCTCTGACAATAAAACATCCTTAGGATATTGTACATGTTCCCCAGATTGAATGAAAACATTGATACATGTATAAAGGAAAAGTAAGAAATTCAAGTCGGATATCCGATGAAAAAGAAGATGTATCTGCGGCGCTGAAATAAGAGTTTAACATGGTGTCATATCGTCGAGCCACAGCTGCCATGCCTCTTCACCAGCCCAGTGTATTGTAAGTATCTAACTATATTAAACAGTAACGAGTAGCGAGTACACCGGATGTAAATGAATCATCCCGAAAAAGAATCGGTGCGAAGACGGACTCTTGGATTAAGCCATCTTGCCAAAAGGATTGCATACCAAGAACACGTTAATGTTGTGTCATGTAATCTTTTATGCCTTGTATACTACACAGCAGAAGTCCAATTGTCAAATATATCTTGCTCGCATCATTAACACGAGGTATACCTCTGAAAAACGCTGTGAAAACAAGAGATTTTTTGATCCAGATAATTTGAAAGTAGTTCAAGTGGTGTGTCAAAGATGTTATAGCACGTTTCAAGTCATAGCAAAACGTCAGTGGGCTGGTTTTCCATGGACACACAGAGAGCCTCATTACAAACGATAAAATAAAGTCATGACAAACCGTTTGAGATGAGTTTGCTCTTGGAGTGGTGGGGGGAACATGAAAATAAAAATATTTGACCGCCTTGCGTTCCAGCCCCCCCTCCTCCAACCAACTCCCTTTCTCTTTCTTTCCGCTCCACTTGAAGCCTAATCTCACTGCCGGGACAGTGCTAACCTTGCGATTCCACGCGACCTTTTTTTTCTTCCTTTCCGTTTGCTTTTCTTTCGAATATGGCTGACTCAAGAATGGTAACTGATCCCATCGTCGAAGCGACTCTTATGGACGGAACAACCATCGCCGTCAATGGTAAGAAAGAGAAATATCGGGAGCAAAAAGAAATAAAGAAAGGAAGAGAGAAAGAGAAATAGCTGCCCTATCAAGACCCGATATTTGACACATCACCTATATAGACCATGTCTACTTGGCCCCGGAACATTTAGGCGAGACCTATTACATTGGTCGCGTTATGGAATTCTGTGGCAACAGCAAACGGCGAGGCCTCCAGGCACGGATTGCATGGTATAATCGGCCAAGGGATGTCATTAGTCGTAAAAATCATGATCCCCGATTACTGGTTGCCACCATGCACTCGGATCTCAACCCAGTGTCCTCCATCCGAGGAAAGTGTACTGTGACCCATCGTCACTACATTCCGGCGGGACAGCTCGAGCAATATAAGCAGCAGGATGACTGTTTTTACTATCATCAATTGTATGATCGCTATATGCAGCGTGTATATGATATTGTGCCTTGCGAATTGGTCCAAAATGTACCCAAAGATGTCCAGACGGCTCTCCGTGAGCGATACCAATTCATTGTCGTTGAGCAAGGCAAGGCGTCCGACCTGACTGTTGCAAGACGCACCTGCTGTGTTTGTCAAGACTGGTGTGCCAGGTAAAAATCGTCATCATCAGCGTCACCCCAGCAACCGTCCCTATAAGTCGATGATGATGGTTGGATATGGATCGATTAGGGCCAATTTTCCCTGATTTATATGACGAATAATTTTTGACCAAATTTTTCTTCTTGTGGACGATTCATAGCGCCAGTTCGGTTCGATGTGCAGCATGCCAGAAGAACTACCACATGGCTTGTTTGAACCCACCACTCCTCCGAAAACCATCGAAAGGCTTTGCTTGGCAATGTGCCTTTTGCTCACGGAAAGAAATCATGGAAGCACCCACGGCTTCCTCACATACAAATACAGCCACATCATCGTCATTGCAAACAACAACAACAACAACAACGTCAGCAGCAGAAGCAGAAGCAGAAGCAGAAGCAGCGGCACCAACTTCACATCATTCCAGAGATACACGATCACCATCCACACCCGCTTCGAGACAACGGCCTACACGCAATGCAGCTCGTTCGAGTGTACAAAAAGTCGAAACAGCCCTAATCGCTCCACAAGCGGTTGCCAATGGACAGAAACAGCCCGAACTGAAACTGAGATTACAACTGAACGGTGTCGACAAAGGTACATGTCCCTGACCACGTGTCGATTTCTTCTAACATCTTTCCTTCTATTTCTCTCTCTTGCCCTCCATCTCCTTCTTTTCCGACAGATCATGAACAGGCACCACGCATGACCAATATGTGGCCTTTTCGGTACTTTGGCATCCACACCGACATTCATGATATCCTGGGTAAGACTTTCTTTTCCCTTAGTCGCACGGTGGTATTCATGAGCGTATCATTGAATGTTTCTTTTGCAGATATTGACGATCGCATATATCCACGGGCGCGGAGTCGATTGGGCGCGAGGTACCAGGCTGATCCCATTCCTGACTTGATAAACGCCCCATCAAGTAACAACGGTGATGCCCACCAAAATCATCAGCCATCTTCCCCAGCTAAATCTGCTTCATTGAAATTACGCCCCAAACCCTTTCAAAAACGGACTCGCCCTCGTTCCAGAAGACGAACAGGTAAACCAATCGCTCCCATACCTTCTCTATAAAACAAGGAAAAAACCAACCTTACATACCATGAAACCCTCCGGCAATAGAAGGGAGTCCAAACCTTGGTCGAGCTCCATCTGAAGAAGATACTGAGGAACCAGGTCCAATTGAACGAGGCACGGATGCTACGATTACGCCGTTATTTCATCCAAATCGATTGGACGATCAAGTTTGTATGTTTATCTTCTCCTGTCACAACCACACTCAATAACTCTTTTTACCGATAAACCAAAGCTTCTTATTGACTACTTCATTTTTTATTTCCAAAAGTGAATCAATATATCAAAGATGTCAAGGCACTTCCATCATTACCCCTCCCACCCTACTCGGGCGATCTTTTGGACCGTGCCATACTTTGTCTCGAGCACAACGACTATGATACCAAGGAAGCACTTGAAGAAATGCGCAAAGTGGACGAAAGCGATTTTGTACATATTGTGGAATGGACACCGGAAGAAGTGGAAGCTTTTGAAAGCGGAATCAAAACATATGGTCACGACTTGTATCATGTTGGACGCATGGTGCCCAGCAAAAAGCATGCAGACGTCGTGCGCTACTTTTATCAATGGAAAAAGACTGAGCGTTACGAGCCGGTATATTCGCAGTGGACCAAAGTCTACAAACCGACCAAAAAATTTAAAAAGTTTGGCAACAATGTCAGTAGCGAAGGAACCGACGAAGATTCCAATAACAACATCATGCAAATTGATTCTGGAAGTGAAATGGATAGTGGTGAAGAGTCAGATCCTACTGTGATCCATGCAAGCTCGCATATGGTCAAGACGTTCCACTGCGCAAATTGTCAAAGCCCAGATTCGACGATATGGCGACGGCTCCCTACAGATGTTGATCGCAAGCGCAAACACTTTCGCCAGGTTTTGTGTAACGATTGTGGCGAGTTTTGGTTAAAGTACGGTATCATGCGCAAAACCAGTGTTGAAAGGACGGTTCAGCGTGGCAAAGGCCGTGGATTGAAAACGAATGGCGGCGATGCTGCTGCAAACTCAAAAGGTGGAGCAAAACGGAAGCGGACAAATGACGGCGGCGCAACGAAGTTTGGTGTCAGAAAACTTAAAGACGATGTAGGCTATCATTACAAAGTGGAAACACAACAACGGGAGGCTACTGGGCCGCATTCAGATTTATTAACGTACTTTTTCTTTCGGGGGGGGCACGTAGAAGCGTGTGGTCTCGGTTTCATATGAACCTACGCCTTGCGCCGTATGTAGCGAAATGGAGCCACAAGAGCGCCTGCTGACCTGCCATGGATGCGGCATGTCTGTACACGGCGGTAAGTATAGTGTGTGCTAATAGAAAATCACTTTGAGTAAATTCTAAATGGTTATTATATCAGATTGCTATGGTGCTCACAAATCCATAAAAGAGGCGTGGTACTGCGATGTATGCATTAACAAAAAGAACCCAACAGCCTCATATGTAAGTGTAGAAGAGCATTGTGTCTTTTATGCACGAACAAGATGACTAACGGTGCATACAGTCGTATGAATGTATTCTATGTAGCGAGTCTCGGCAATCACCACGGCAACCCTTGAAAAAAACATCATCCTACAACTGGGTACATGTTTTGTGTGCTATGTTTATTCCAGAAGTCAAGTTTGTGAACATAGCGACGCTTCAGCCGGCCGAGTATATTGCAGCAATTAACAAGGCGCGATGGAACGAGGTAAGATGTCATATAATGCCTACTGATTAGCTGGAAGGATAGTATAAATAATCTATTCCTTTTGTTTAGACCTGTCATTTATGCAAAGAGCAGACGGGCGCATGTGTGGTTTGCGGCGACTGTAACAAGCCCGTACATGTACAGTGCGCTATTAAGCACAATTTCACAGTTGCGTTTGAGGTCCAATCTCCCAAAGCTTCTCGTTCTGGCGTCACCATACCTGCCGATCTTTTTCGTTCTAACATGCCCAGTGGGTTGATGGTACCGCAGGTTTGGTGCCCAAACCATGATCTATCTAAACATCAGCTTGTGCGATTAACTGAGCGCACCACGGATACCAACGTGGTAGGTTTGCAAGACATAACGATAGCTTATACATATAATCTTTGAAATATCAACTAATATTTTTACAAGTCTTGTACTCGTATTTACTCTAGCTATTACAAACAAGTTGAATCCGGTACGACACCAGCCATGCGACGCTATCGTGCAGTTCTCGCCTCTACAGGACATCCGTACAGTAGTGCCATTTACAACCCCAGCAGTTTGCATTCAGAAAGCTCACCTACCTTATCACCTGCGTCTATTCCATCTGCTCGCCAAAGCGTGCTTTCAACCATGCCACCTGCACGACAACCTACTACTACAACAACAACAGCAACATCTTCTACCTCTCCATTATCTTTATCATCATCATCATCAACCAATCGAAGAACGCCAGTGACTACTGCACTGGCTTCAGTGCCAATCGACTTTAATGAACAACCAAAGTGCAGTGAATGTCCTGCTGAGTTTTCGCCTTATTGGTGGGATGTCGACGCTTCCCCTGACAAAAAATTATGCCATCGTTGCTACTGGCGCCACAAACGTGATAATAATACTGTGGACATTATTGCTCCTACTACTACCTCTAATACTACTACTACTACTACTACTAATTGATCATTCATTCTATCACGGGGATAGGAATGTTTCTATCCCCTTGTACATACTTCTATACCTCTTGAAAAACATCCATCTTCCCTCCCCCCCCCAAACAATACACACCGGCACACACATATTCTACGTACATATTGTATTCAGTATGCAAGCAGTAAAACCAAATTTCTCCGCTTTCTTTCGGGCTCAATGATCTTTGAATGAAGAAAAAATACTTCATCATAAGCAATCGTAACAAAAGACTGTCTGTGAATAAGGTCCAATAATGGAGACTTGGTGGTTTGAAGCGATTTGCGCTTAAAGTGCCGTATACGTAATATGTAATAAATTTGATTAATGATTGTGATAGGTCTAAGCTGTCTATGTAATGTAAAAGGTTTTTAATCTAAATCTAAGACTCGGCATTGAGTGGCTCGAATAAAATCATCCACAGGAAGAGCCAGTTTCCAATCGATGTGCCCAGCACCCATGAAGAGCACAGGTGGCTAAGAGGAGATAAAACATGAAAGGTCAGATTTCTCATAAAAAGCTCATATTTAACAAAAATATAAACTGAGGACGTACATCAAGCTTAGTAATCGATTCAGCGAGGATAACTGGAATACGTGTAGTAGTGCCTAATCAACATATGTAGATGAGATTCGTGTTTTAAGTTAATACAAAGTAGATATTTATCTTGCTGCTTACCAATTGGGCAGACACCGCCTGATTTGAAACCAGTAAGCTCAAGCGATTTCTAAAGCAGAACACTTCCTGTCAGTTACACGGTCTCATAAGAAATGTTTTTAGCGGATACTACCTCGGACTGCGCTACACGATAATTATAGTACTTTTTGCCTGCTGCCCTGCCTGACAAATCTCGGATTTGATTCATAAGCTTCTGTGTATTCACAGGAGCAGTGTACTACAAAAGATTATTTTGCGAGTAAGCACATACACGTCTGTTGTCAATTGCTTATTACAATTACGCATATCGAACCTGTGTAATGACACATATAAAGCGAGGATAGACATCTAAAAGACAAATATTAAATAAGCAAAACCAAGATTAGCACTGTCTGTATAGTGTCATGTAAATCATTACCTTCGCCCAGCCCCACATCAGCAGAATATGCTCGGTTCTCCATGACTACACTCTTGCACATATGCTCTTTCGAAGGAGCCGTGACGCGAAAACTGATTCTCTGAGTGTTAGCATAACTAATAGGGCAAAAGATGCCGTTTCATTCAAAAAATATCAAACGGACAAAAAACTTACGCTCGTTGCTGTAACGGCCAGTCGTAATAGTCACTTTCAACGGGGTAATAGCGTGCCGTAGACTCGACGCCGCCACTATTACAACCTTCGATAACCTAATAAGATAGCTTCTACTAGTAAAACCTCCTATTACCAGAAAATATAACAAGTGTGCCATCGTACCTTTTCAACAGTCTCGGGAGCATTCTCTATATCAGGCACCTTAGCTTGTATTTCCCAATCATTGAGGTAGGCATTAGAGAACGATTGGTACAAAGACGAAATGTCCTTTTGCAGATTCTAACAGCAAGTCAAAGAAGAAATGGTCTTAGATATCAAGTAGAATAGCTTTTAAATCAGTTGAAGCGTACTGTGTTTACCTCAATGAGAGTTCGCTGTTCAACAGGTAGTTCGCTCACGATCATTTTCAATGAAGAGGACCTCTTTTCGCCCTGGATTTTTTGACAGGTATCGGGATTTAATAAACGGTCCAACAATAGTTTATCCGTTCGTTCATGTATATTTACTTTTTGAGATGTGATGGGGATTAGAGATATGGGGAGGAAATGTGTGATTAATACAAATGCGTAATGATTTTCTATGTTCTTTTTCTTCGTTTATCCTGTCTGCTATGGGTGGGCGTTCTGCGGGGCGGTTTTCTCAATTGCGACGAGTTGTTCCTTAATGATAAATCAATGAGTTCTTCACATCGATACTTGTATTTGAGTGCTTCATCCTGTTCCGTGGTAAATGCGTCTGGGAAACGAAGACTAATTTTATGCCGCCAAAAAGAAGAAAAGTTTAATACAAATAACGATTAATGCTTGATCTCTTATGTTTTCTAAAGAAAAAGAATTTACCTGAGCCACATATAAAGCATGATGATTTTGTGGGAGCCTTCTAGCAGTTTAAGCTCTTCAGGACTTTTTACAGGGTTCCGTGGAAGAGTTGCCATGTCGTTCAAATCGCAAGGTTCCATATTGCTGTACATTTCCGTCATCTTTATAAAAGCCTTGACAACGCTGGGATTTCTCAAGTTGACAGGAGCATTAACAAACTGGTATCTGTCTCGTAAGTCGAGAGGAACATGTTCAATTATCTCTGCAATTTGCTGTACGTTGTTTCGAATATAAGTCAATGAACTCATGAAGCAGACATATCTCTATATATTCTTTGCTTTTTACCTTTTGATCTTTAAAATTGCACAAAAAGTATGTGCCCTGGAGCGATGCAAAATCTTCAAATTTTTCCTATTACACGAATAACTTAGAGCGCTGTTCATCTATACGTCGATGACATACATATTGCTTACCAACAGTGAAGAGAACTTCTCTTTAGGCATTTGTAACGCAAAGAGCTCGAAAATGTCGACTGTTGGGTGTAAACCTGCTCGCTTTTGATTTTTGCAAAATAGAAACGAGGGTTAGTCGACCAAATCCTTGACGATAACCTTTGTATATTTACCAACCTTAAGATAAGTGATTGGCGCAGACATCGCTTCTTGAACATATTCAAGGTCTCCAGAAATCATACTATGGGAGTTGAAAAACAAAGTAGTTTAATAAAAGCTTTGACCGCTCGTAACTCCCTTTCTTAACTTACGTTGTTACTTCTCCAGATGCGTAAGTTGTACCAAATCGGCCTGCTCTGCCGCCAATTTGCTTGAGTTGTGGAGTACTGATATAGCGAAGCTCTTCGCCATCAAACTTTTTGACTGTTGAAAAGACAACGCGCTTGATGTTCCTATAACCAAAAACAATCGGTTAATACAATAGTCGCTATCTCTACATGTTGTTACTTACAGGTTTAAGCCCATGCCAACTGCATCAGATGCAACAAGGACGTCTATATCATTGTTCGGGTCGTTGAACGATTGCGCTTGCATAGCGCGAGTTTCTATATACAGTTGACTATTAATACCAGCGCGATTTTGATAATTATGCTAATAACAGATGTGAAAAGGTCAATTTACCAGGAGGTAATCCGCCGTAAACAACAGCACATTTTAGACCTGTGGTTTTCTCAATCTTTTCCTTGACTTCAAAGATGTAGTTGCGCGCAAATGACACCACACAGTCGCCTTTGCGCACCTGGCTCCAGTCGGATAAGGATTTATCCAAGACTTTGACAGGTGTGAGACGATTGTATTCGTGAACAGTGACCTTTTCATTGAGGGTCTTGCATATCTCCTGGACCAATGGTACAGCAGCAGCTTCGCCACACAGATGGATCTCCTTCGCTTTTAAGCCCAACAATGCCTGTGTCCAAGCCCAACCACGCAGTGGATCCGCAATCATCTGAATTTCATCAATCACTGCAACCTCCAGCGGCCGTCCCAAGTTGGCCATTTCAATGGTTGAACTAGTTAGTGTTGCATCGGGAGACACCTCTCGCTTTTCTTCGCCAGTGATAAGATTGCATCCTATGCCTTGTGCGTTCATTTTGTTGTAAATTTCATGTGCCAGCAAGCGAAGCGGACCGCAGTAGATACCAGACTCTGCTTCTGCGAGTCTCTTCAATGCATTGTATGTTTTTCCACTGTTAGTTGGTCCGACATGAAGGAAAATCTTTCTGTTTAAAGAGTCAATGTTGTTGTTGTTATTGTTTAATAACATGGATCGTATTAAGCTATATCAGATTGTTATAGGACTGACCTTTGCATCTGTCTTGCTTCCGGGAACCATTCACTGGGATATCGTAGATCGCTTAATTGTTTTAGCGACTGGATGTTATCTTTGATCCTGTTTGGTAATCTCGTCTCGGCAAAAGAAAAAAAGTGGTGCAGTAGAAATTTATCCATGGAAACTTTTCCGCCCGCAAAGCCAATTAGTAAATAAAAGCATCAATGCCCTGGTTTCAAACTGCCTAAAGCAAGATGGATACTTACCAATGCCTTCCTCCACATCGTAAGCTTTCTTTGCAGCCTTCCAATCGCAGTCGCTAATTTTTCCCTCCTCCACTTTTTCGACAAAGGCCTTTGACAACACGTTAAACAGTTTGCCACTTATACCAACGTTCTTCGATCGTCGTCGAACTTCTGCACTTGTAACGAAAAGCCTTAACCGATTTTTGAAAACTAATCTTATGTAAGTAATAAGCAACGACGTTCAATGTCTAATGCCAGGTGGAAAGTGAAATCGCTCATTACTTCTTTCAGCCCATTTGTCTGAGCTTGAGCTCACAACTGACGGATCAAACGGTGTTGGCGATTTCGAGTGCTTGGCTGGGCCTTTAGCAGTAACATTAGGTCGTGGATTCCGTAAACATGGCAGCGTGCCAGTCGTCAATGATCGTGTTGTGTGCAGTAGACGCCATGAAGTCCGGCTTGTGTTGGTTCGAGTCGCAACGCATAAGGCGCGAGCGAACATGGTGGTTGACAAGTAGCAAACAAAATTTTAGGACAAGCGGACACTTGTCAAGAAATGTCTCAGCGCGGCACCCAATTATAAGCTTGACTCGTGTTATAGCAGCATGGCAGCATCAATCTGAAAATCTTACCTTCATAAGTGATATAATACATGCGTACCCGCTTATCCATTCGCTCATGCTATTCTGCTTTTATACGATAACTTGCTTTTCAGTATCGTATACTATGACACAAAGTGTTGAGCGATCAGCAGCTCTTTCTTGCTGACATTGACGATTTTCATTGCTCCTCTTGATGTATCTCTTAGCAAAAAGTGTAACTATTAGGGAGGAGGACTGTTTTGATGGATGAATGTGAAATCCAATCATTATTCTGTCGCATCAAAGCATTCTATCTTATAAAACAATACATCTGCTGTCCCTTCTTTTCTTTTCAACGCGGTAGTATATTACCAAAAATGCATCAGTGCTGTGCTTTTATGAAAGATAATTGGTAGCATGAACGGTCTGTCACGATATCTTTTTTACACAACCAAGGCCCCCCACTTCATCTGTTGAAAGAGTATCCACATGTACCTGAGAGCCATATAGTTGTATGTAATCTTTTTTTGCATATAATAGTAAGAAGACGAAGCCCGCAGGCGTGGCACCTGGTTGCACACGCCGTTTGATTCGACGGTTTACGAACTTTCTTTTCTCAAGGCTTTTGCATAGACCTGGTTCTTCTATTGTTCATTATTACACATGACCTAGTGAACCGGGTAAATTATCGGACCAAAGAATGCATCACCAATGAATCAATTTTCCATACTAACTATAGAACTTTGAAAAAGAAGGCCTTGTTAATATATCAGTGTTGCATCAGCTATTGAAAAGCTGTCAAAAATCAAGTCATGTAAATCATAAGGAGCATTTATTGAGTAATAGCAGTCTACGACAACCCTATTTATTATGTAATAAGCGTGTTCACGTTTGGCTGCAATTGAAGCCGAGGTAAAGTGTGTTGGTTACACAATGAGCTCTCATCCGATCAAGACTGGGATTTTTTTTTCTCTTGCTTCTTTCCTTTTGCTTTTCTAATCTTTCTTTCCTACATCCTTTTTCTTTTCCTTTCGCTGCTGTCCTTCATATGTCCTCAATGGCATCTTTTCTCAACAACGGAATGGACACGAATCCTTATGCTCGTATTGCCGCAGCTACCGGCGGTGCTGCAGTAATAACATTAGGACTGCTCGCGCTTAAATACAATGACCGAGCTCTCTTTCACGAAGCTAGAGATGATATGCCGAGGGTCAAGGGGGATCCTATTGTTGGAGGACTTTTCCGCCAGCTTGCCAACAAAGATAGGACTTACGACCAACAATGTCAACACTTTGAGCGACTGGATACTTTGACTTTGTAAAGCATACAATTTGTGTTGCTATGTACTTCAGCTCTCTCAACAAGGAAGCTAATACCCATTGTTGTACAACAGTGCCGCATCGACCATTGGCATGGCGCCCGCTGTCTTGACTATTAACCCAGTTAATGTTGAATACTTTTTGAAAAGTAAGTATCTGCTTTATACTATGATGTCGTTGTAGCTTTTTTCTGTAAACAGTAACTGACCTCTCTATTTAAGCAAACTTTGAGAACTACATCAAGGGTGAACATATGCTGTAAGCACTTACCCCAGGTCACACATTGGATGATCGCATTAATTCATAGTACACGTAAACAATAATACTACTGCTGTAGGAAATCGCTCGGGCACTTTCTTGGCAAAGGAATCTTTATTGCTAATGGAGAACGCTGGCGTTACCAAAGAAAAACGGCTAGCCATATTTTTAATATCGTGAATTTCCGGAACCACTTCACCGGTATGTGATATTCTTTTTCACTCTTCGTGCTTTGCAAAGGACCGTTTGTGAAACTGATGTCTTTTTTTACTGTAGAGTAAGTTCGCCATAAGCAGCTCAACAGGCTGTTTGGTCGCCGTACGAGATCAAGTTAATACTAACTATATTATATAGCGTGTTTGTCAAAGAATTGAACGTATTGTCAAGTCATATCCTTGACAAGAAAGTCCATAGTGGTAAACCCGTCGATTTTCAAGATGTCATGTTCAAATTTACGGTGGACTCGTTTGTGCTGTTAGTGAAACTTTCAAAACTGTGTATAAAAACTGTGTATATTAATACCACTAATATCTCTCCTTCCGAAAACATCCAATAGTTTGGCTTTTGGCGCTGAAATTAATGCGTTAAAGAGTCGCGGCAAGGTCCCCTTTGCAGCATCTTTTGACGAGTGTCAGCATGATTGTCTGGATCGTTTTATCAATCCTTTCATGCCTATCGTAGAGGCACTCAAGCCAATTATTCGTCCGGGCACAATGACCATCAAACAGCACCTCAAAGTGATAGACGACTTTGCGTACGGCATCATCAACGAGAGACGCAAGCAGCTTGCTGAAGGTGGCGAATTCAAGGATCTTTTATCCCGATTCATGAACACGCGCAACGAGCACGGAGAGCTTTTGAGTGATGACGAGCTTCGCGATACCTCCTTAAACTTCATTCTTGCTGGAAGAGACACCACAGCTCAAGCACTTTCGTGGACATTTTACAACCTAATGCTGCATCCTCGAGTCGAAACCAAGCTATTTGAGGAAATCAAGGCACATATTCGCGACGAACATGAAAATGATTCGCCTGCCCTCTACGAAGTCATAAAAGACAAGATGACTTACGCACACGCTGTTTTCTATGAAGTGCTTCGACTCTATCCACCAGTACCGTCCAATATAAAGGTCGCCCTGGGTGACGACGTCTGGCCCGATGGAACTCGTATCCGAAAGGGTGATAGCGTGGCATGGTCAACCTACGCACAAGGCCGCTCCACAAAGGTATGGGGTCCAGATGCTCGAGTTTTTAGACCTGAGCGCTGGATTACTCCGGAAGGCGAACTTCGTCGAGAGTCACAAGGACAGTGGCCAATCTTCCACGCTGGCCCACGTATCTGCCTTGGTAGGTCCTATCATTTTAGGAAATGTACAGTATGTCTATCATAATATGTACAAGTAACTAAACGGAAAGTACATGCAGGTCAAGCGCTCGCTACCTTGGAATCTTTGGTGGCCATGATTATGCTTTTGAGAAGATATAAATTTACCTTGGCGCCAAATCAAGAGATCCACTATAAAGTGTCACTAACGATGCCCATGAAGAACGGAATGAAGGTTTTCGTCGAAAAACGCGAACTGACTCACTAATTTAAAAAACCTCTCGAAAACTAAAACCAGTATCATATGCAAAACTTGTAATAGTTAAATGTAGTAAGAAAAAGAAGACTGTATGTATAAATGTAGTTTTATTATTGTAAACGTAATAATATATATAATGTGCGAGACTTTGTTGCCAAACTGCAAGTGGCTAGGACAACAAAAATCAAAGCAATCTCAAATTTGTAAAATCAGTAAAACTTGTTTTCTTGGGTTATATACATACTAAGATAACATGACCGCATTATCGCTGAAATATACTTATCATACATCAGTACAGTAATCCTTTTATCTCTCCTACAGTTATGACGGTGAGCGATGCTATATAACTCATTCAGACACGCTTATTATGGCGTGCTTGGCAGAGAACCAGCAGGATCGGAGCAACATTCATAAAAATTGACAGCTTCTGCTTTTCCGTACTCTCATGGCTCTTCCCGATATTGATCCGCCACCTGGCAATGGCCCAGGCAACAACTCACCAACAAAACCGCTTGAAGTCCCTCGACTTTCGTATGCTCGCATTGTTCAAAGGCACCGCCAGTCTTTGATGAAAATTGAGAGCGAAACCCGCCTTACGCCGGACGATTCAGACGCACAAAAAACTACTCGCATTATTACCTCCAACATCTACCGAGTGGGAGGTTCCCCTGCTTCGGCAAACAGTGTCTTCTTTGACCTCAGTAGCCGTACTGAGCCCTTAGCCAAGTTGTTGAAACGTATCGCCCAGCACTTCCCTAACAACTGCGGTGGCCAACCAGTTCGTGAAGGCCCTAGAGTCCTTGTTGAACTTTTTTTTGAAGACGCCGCAGACCTTCAGCACGCCCTCGATGAAGGCATCAGCTTTTCAAACAACATCATCATCAAACCTTGCCGCGCACTATCATCTGATGCCCAAATCACCAAAGTGCGCCTCTCGCAGCTACCTTACAGGAGCCCAGACAAGTTGGTTCACGGAATTCTCCAAAGCCTCAGCCTTTACGGGCGAGTCTTGGATTGCGGCATCTACCGCGATGCTCAGTCTGGTCTCTATATGGGTACAGGCTTCGCTGTGCTAGACCGCCAACCTATCGCAGACGAACAGACTTTTAGTCCCATTACGCATGTCATCCCTTGGTGCACCAGCAAAGACAGCTTTTATGCCACTTGGGCGGCCATGGCATTACACTGTGCTCGCTGCCATAAGGAAGGACATCATGTCAATAACTGTCCTCAGAATCCCCGCAATCACCGCGCCTGTTGGTCTTGCGGTGAAATTGGCCACTTGTCGTACCTGTGTCACAACAAAAAGATCTCCGGTCGTGCAACTCGTGGCGCCACTAACAAGAAGCGTAGAAAAACGAACAACCCGACGAGTCCCTCGACAGCACCAAACGTCTCACCAACCACCGAGCCATTGGACCACAACCGTAACCCAGAGGAAACACACACAACACTCGACAACCATGACGAGTTGACTTTCCCAGATCCAGAACCTGCTCGAGACGACGCTAGTGGCGACGACGAATCCTCCGACGCGATGGAGACCGACACTGACTCCGTCGTGGAAGAGTTGGAAAACGAAGAAAGCGCAGCCCCAGCCCCTGTGGACGCGGAGGCCATACAAGAAGCCTATGAAGAATTTCTCGAAGAACGCACCAACAAACCCGCCATGTACGAAACGATGAAAACCGCCTTTGCGAACCGACAACTAGCCACAGACTTTTGGAGCCAAACATTCCCCATGATGACTGCTACCACCCGGCATTCCATTACTACGACTTTGGAAGTAGCCGACCAACAAGTGCTGGCGGCCCTCCTCGAAGGACGATTTGCGCACCATGTAGCAACACAGAGAGCAGCAACTGGCGACACTCCGCTCCGTCCGTCGCCCGCCTTCGACACTTCAGATTCAGATCCAAAAACAACAAGCTACCGCACAAAGAGCGGCCGCCTCGTGAAGCCGTCTCCGAAAGCTCTCAGTGGTAACACCGGGTCGTCATCTCATTGAAGAGACGACCCGCAAAATTACGTATCCATCAATATATTATGATACCCAATAATATTCTGAAATTATGCTCTCTCAACTGTAACAGTCTTCGAAAAACCAACAACCCTGGCGCTCGATCGTCGCTCATGCGCTATCTGCGTCACCAACACCCACATCTTCTCGCTCTCCAAGAAACCGGAGCTGGCTCAACATCAATTCAGCAATCTTTCGACCAACAACTCCTCGTCTCCTCCAGCTCGTGGACTCAACACTGTGGACTCGTAGCCTTCTCGCCCGACATCATCATCACAACCATCCCTATTGATCTTGGCGCCAACACTTCCCGCATCATTTATGCCAAAATTCAATCCGCGACATCATCTTTCCTCGACTTCTATATTCTCGTAGTCTATGGACCCGCGACTTCCTCTATTCGAGCGCGACACACTTTTTACACCGCTTTAAGCAATTCAACAATTTTCTCTGACATCCCTGACCGACTTATCATCGCTGGGGATTTTAACTACAACTACCATCTTGCCGCTCACCGCCACCGTGTCCCAGCATCCTGGCAAGCCATGCTTCACACCCACTACGTCGATTGTATCACGGAATTGGGCGAGGGCCTGCCCCTTCCTACATTCCGCCGAGGTGATCTGTATTATTCTACGCTAGATTTCATATTTTCCTCCCCTGAGCTACGTCCGCAACTGTCTAAAGCTGAAATACAACGCTTACCCTTAGAATGGTCAGACCATGCTCTCCTTTCCGCGCACATTCACCTAGGTGACTGCAATAGAGGCAAAAGTTACTGGCGCGGCAATCCCAATTTTACCCACATCAAACAATTTCGGCAAGAGCTGGCCTCCTGGCTCTCCCAAGTGTTCCCCTTACTGTCTTCACATGGATCACCCCAAGCACAATGGGACTTCCTAAAAGGGGAACTTCGCAAATTTATGCAGCGTTTTGGCCGTCAGCGCGAGGATTGGCGGAAGCAGCAGCATAAAGCCTTACAAAGGAAACGAAACAAGCTTATCCGGTCCAACCCTCCGCCCAGCATATTGGCAGCTCACCTTGCCCGAGTCGAACTTCAGCTTGACCTCATCCAAAAAGAAATTGTTGACAATGCGGCGCTCAAGTCTAATTTACGTTGGCGAGAGCAAGGGGAAGTATCTGCTGGATACCTGAAACGCACTGCTACTACCAGACAGACTCAACGCCTTCTTCTGTCCATTCAGCACCCGCAAACTAACGTATTACTACAAGAACCATCCGACATTCAAGAAGCTGCTCGTTTCTTTTATCAGGACCTGTATTCCGCCGCACCGATGGACTTACGCGCACATGATAGCCTCTTAGCATCGATTCCTTCCTCTTGTCGAGTCTCTGCTGCCTCTTGTGACATGCTGCTAGAGGAATTCGGTATCGAGGACCTGCAACTTGGTGCGAAACGTGCCCCAGCGAAAAGCAGCCCTGGTCTCGATGGCCTCCCCTACGAACTCTGGTATTTGGTCCTCCAACACCCCCAGTACAAGGTTCTTGCGTGTGAGGTATACAATGCCGCCCTTCAAGGCTCCTGTTTCCCTCCATCGTGGACCGCAACGTGTGTCGCGCTGTTGCCCAAGAAAGGAGACTTAACCTCCCTGCGTAACTGGCGTCCGATTGCCTTGATTAACACCGATGCTAAGATCTTCACTCGGCTATTGAATTCGCGTCTCATACAAGCGGCAGACAAGCTCATCAACCCGTTCCAGGCGGGTTTCATGCCTGGCCGATTCATAGCCGACAATGGTATGTTGGTTAAACTTATCATGGAACAAGAACGCAATAATACAGCACCATCTGGACTGGGGCTTTTACTAGATCAGGAGAAAGCCTATGACCGTATCCATCCGGTTTATCTTGAACGTACCTTGCTGCATTTTGGCTTTCCACCTAGTCTGGTCTCATCAATCGTCACCCTCTTTTTCACAACCAACATCACACTCAACATCAATGGTAACCTAACAGCTCCAATACAACAGCGCCGCGGGCTTCGCCAAGGAGATCCATTGTCCCCAGTGCTTTTCAATCTTGCAATCGAACCTCTGTTGCGCAGCATCATGCAAGATGAGTCCTTTGAAGGCATCCAGCCCCAATATGTCTCATCTTATACTCGCGTGCCTCCCCCAGCTCCCCTCAAAGTTCTGGCATATGCGGACGATGTTTTTGTGTTTCTCCGTTCCCCCTCGGACCTGCAACGACTACGGATTCACCTGGACCAATACCAAGCAGCTTCTAATGCTCGACTGAATACACACAAGTCTCAAGCCATCTCGCTTTCCGGTGCACCGGTGCCACACTGGGAGGGCCACTTACTGGATGCTGGCTTTCCGCCTCCGCACGATAGGAGCCACCCGAGCCCGGTAATCTACCTTGGTTTTCCCCTCGCCTCCTCTTCTCGTCAATTGAAAGTGTTTTTAGACGCATTACTCACCACTATTCAAACTTCTTGTCAAATTCATGCTTCCCGGCAACTATCCATCCGCGGCCGAGCCACGGTGTTGAACTCCTTGATCCTGTCACGCACATGGCACGTACTCCGCTTGGTTGGGGCTGCTCCGTCCACATTCTTCGGCAAACTACGGTCCATCTGCGGCAAGTTCATGATGACACGCATGTTTCCTCGAGTCAGCTATGACAAATTGTGTCAACTACGACATTGTGGAGGTCTTGGCGTACTTGATCCCCTTCTCCAACAACAGACCCTCCAACTGCGATGGCTTGAACCCCTCTTTCGGTTGCCCGCAGAACCGTCGTATATCACCGCTTGCCTCTGTCATCATATCATGGTAGCGTCCGCATCTTATGTGGATCCACGCTTCGCATTAGTTTTTCCTGACGCACGCCCTCGCTCACCGGAACCAAACCAAGTCGCCTATCTTCTCTACAAAGCTACTGACCGACTGCCTGTCACCTGGCTTTCGGCTGAATTGTCTGCTGCTACACTACTACACTTACCCCTGAACTGCATCTGGGCGCCCACACTGGGCAATGCCAACCTACGTCGCCCTGGATTTCGTACTTTACAGGTCGCTGATCTCTTTGTCTTCGACCACCACCTGGGCTACATTCGGCGTCGGTTTTCTACTGACGGAATCTTTCGACCTATTCTCACAACGCGTTTCTTCAATGACTTGGGCTCCGGACGTATATATTTACTTGCGGGTTTCGCCCGCCTTTGCCTGCCAGGTGATCACCCTGGTGGAGGTCACTCCAGTCGCCTCGACACGATTGACGCTTCACCTCTCTTTCGCCGTCTCTCCTCTTCACTCCCGTTATGGCGTACCCAAGACTACCGGCGCCTATGTTCGCCGCCGACTGCCACCATTCCCACCATATCGTCCCGAGACTGGTCTTCCTTCTGGCGATGGGATATGGAGCATACTGCCCGTAACATTTGGTTCCGTGCCATTCATGGTACTATACCTACAGCTCTCCGTCTTTTCGATATTAACATTGGCCATCTCGAGTCGCCTATGTGCCGGTTATGCACCTCTGCTGTGGACGACCTCGACCATTTTCTTGTCTTCTGTCCTGTCAGGTTGTCTGTGTGGAACGCCGTTTGGAGTCATCTCTTCTTCGCTGATCCACACCCCCGACATCTTTCTACGTTCATCAAATCACTCAAGCTCCCACCAACAACACCGACTTCCAGTACATCGTTTCCATCTTACAACATCGCTGTCGCATGTACGCTCCATGCAATATGGGCGGCATATTGGCAACTCATCTTCCATGACCAGCCTTTTATTCCGTCTGCCGTCATATCTAGGGCTTTGGTCCTTTTAGAGCGTTTTCGCCCCCGGGACCCTCTCTAATTTTCTTTTCTATCATTAAACAAAACAAAAAAAAAAAAAAAAAAAAAAAAAAAAAACAAACACAAACAAAAAAAAAATGCTTATATTCATAGATTCTCCCCCCCCCCTACTACTTGTAACTATCCCTTTGTATGTTCCTCGCATGTGCCACAACTCTAAGATACAATGTTCGTAATAGCGACCAGTTTCGCACGCAGCACGCCTCTGTCCAAATTGCGGCACGCGTGACTGCAGAGAAAATAAACTCTCCCTTGGGGATCCTCCTCCATAAAAAAAAAAAAAAAAAAAAAATTTCCGTACTCTTGAAGGCTGTTTCCAAAGAACAGCAGCAAAGCCGCATGAGTTTTATTAAGCAATGTGCAATTAGTAATTGGCAATTAATCTCAAAAAGACGACATTTAATTGTTGTTCGGCGTTTGAGTCGATGGGAACGTCATGACAAACGAGACAATAAAAGTTACATAGAACACGGTAAAAGAAAGAAAGCATACTAAAAAAACGCGCCTTCAAAACTTTTTGCTCTGACTGGAGGTTACGCATTACATGAAACAATTAGGATTGCGCAGAGTAAAGCCGTATTTTTACCAACACAAAATGCACGCCAAAGCACGCTGGATAGGCAGACCTATACTCAGTGTCTTCACACAAGAGTTTAGAAATCGCAACGCTGATTATTACGCAAGTAGAATCGTATATAGTCATTATTTTTTCGCATCATAAGAATGTATAGTGGACCGATTTTCATTTGTTTGTATGAACTTTTTTATACACACACAGGAACGAGCGATAAAGAAAGGATGGATCACTGTGAATGAAGAGGCCGTATCTGCAGATACCATCGTGCACGCCACTGATGTATTAAAGCACGCTGAACATTTTCACGAAAAGCCCACTACAGCCCGGCCACTTTGTATCATCCACAGCGATGACGACTTGCTGGTGATTGATAAACCTTCAGGGTTGCCTGTACATTCGAGCGGACGTTTTAGATACAACACAGTAGTAGAGATCCTGAAAAGCACTTTAGGCTTGTCATCTATATATCGTAAGGTCGATCCTTCCCGTGTATTTGGCTTACTGGTGGTAAAAAATACACGAATACATTCTAAATCAATGTTTATAACATATATAATAGCCGTCAACCGACTAGACCGCCATACTTCAGGACTTGTGCTTTTAGCCCTGACACCGCAACGAGCATCCGAAATTGCACAAGATATGAAAGGTCGAGTTGTTCAGAAAGAGTATCTATGTCGAGTACTAGGCAAATTTCCTTCTGGGTAATAAGAGAGGTTCTCTTTTATCTATCACTGACCAGTTTCTATATCCTAAATATCTGCTAATATTAAATATCTTTATCTACAAATAGCAAGGTCGTATGTAATGTGCCTATCAAACCTATATCTTTTAAATTATCTTTACATTATGCCCATGCAGATGGGAAGCCATGTGCCACTGAATTCGAACGAGTGAGCTACAACGGTCAAACGAGTGTAGTTAGATGCCGACCGTTGACAGGACGCACACATCAGATACGAGTGCATCTACGCTATCTTGGATATCCAATTGTCAACGATCCAATGTATCATACCACGTTCACGCCATGGTTTCCACCTCCAATGACATGTATAAACGATACAGACGCCGAGCAGGTTGTGCAACATTTACTTGAAACGACGCAATATGAACTGCAACAAAATGACAACAACAGTAGTAACAATTATATTTGCCCTGAATGCAATATGTTGGTGCCTGAAGATCCAAGACCCGAGACTAGCCTTGGCATCTATCTTCATGCTTGGCGTTATCGAGGGAATGGATGGGATTACAAAACCGAGTTGCCACATTGGATATATGAACCATTTAATGAGCCCATTACCCCGGCATCTATTATTAAAAT